ATTTTTTTTTTTCAAATTTCTCCACAGACCATCATTATTCTGGCCGTCACTGTAGGCTTAGAGCTCTATCTCTTCCAGATCCTCAACAACGAATCCACATCGGTAAGTCTCTTTTTCCCCACCCATATAAGTCTCTTCTCCCCACCCATATAAGTCTCTTCTCCCCGCCCATATAAGTCTCTTCTCCCCGCCCATATGTACAACCTTAAAACCACATCAGTAAGTCTCTTCTCCCGCCCCTTATGTACAACAACGAATCCACATCAGTAAGTCTCTTCTCCCCGCCCATATGTACAACCTTAAAACTACATCGGTAAGTCTCTTCTCCCCGCCCATATGTACAACCTTAAAACCACATCGGTAAGTCTCTTCTCCCCGCCCATATGTACAACCTTAAAACCACATCGGTAAGTCTCTCTCCCCGCCCATATGTACAACCTCAAAACCAACATCGGTAAGTCTCTTCTCCCCGCCCATATGTACAACCTTAAAACCACATCGGTAAGTCTCTTCTCCCCGCCCATATGTACAACCTTAAAACCACATCGGTAAGTCTCTTCTCCCCGTCCATATGTACAACAACGAATCCACATCGGTAAGTCTCTTCTCCCCGCCCATATGTACAACCTTAAAACCACATCGGTAAGTCTCTCTCCCAGCCAATATGTACAACCTTAAAACCACATCGGTAAGTCTCTTCTCCCAGCCCATATGTACAACCTTAAAACCACATCGGTAAGTCTCTTCTCCCCGCCCATATGTACAACCTTAAAACCACATCGGTAAGTCTCTTCTCCCCGCCCATATGTACAACCTTAAAACCACATCGGTAAGTCTCTTCTCCCCGCCCATATGTACAACCTTAAAACCACATCGGTAAGTCTCTTCTCCCAGCCCATATGTACAACCTTAAAACCACATCGGTAAGTCTCTTCTCCCAGCCCATATGTACAACCTTAAAACCACATCGGTAAGTCTCTTCTCCCCGCCCATATGTACAACCTTAAAACCACATCGGTAAGTCTCTTCTCCCCGCACATATGTACAACCTTAAAACCACATCGGTAAGTCTCTTCTCCCCGCCCATATGTACAAACTTAAAACCACATCGGTAAGTCTCTTCTCCCCGCCCATATGTACAACCTTAAAACCACATCGGTAAATCTCTTCTCCCCGCCCATATGTACAACCTTAAAACCACATCGGTAAGTCTCTTCTCCCCGCCCATATGTACAACCTTAAAACCACATCGGTAAGTCTCTTCTCCCCGCCCATATGTACAACCTTAAAACCACATCAGTAAGTCTCTTCTCCCAGCCCATATGTACAAACTTAAAACCACATCGGTAAGTCTCTTCTCCCAGCCCATATGTACAACCTTAAAACCACATCGGTAAATCTCTTCTCCCCAACCATATGTACAACCTTAAAACCACATCGGTAAGTCTCTTCTCCCCGCCCATATGTACAACCTTAAAACCACATCGGTAAGTCTCTTCTCCCCGCCCATATGTACAACCTTAAAACCACATCGGTAAGTCTCTTCTCCCCGCCCATATGTACAACCTTAAAACCACATCGGTAAGTCTCTTCTCCCCGCCCATATGTACAACCTTAAAACCACATCGGTAAGTCTCTTCTCCCCGCCCATATGTACAACCTTAAAACCACATCGGTAAGTCTCTTCTCCCCGCCCATATGTACAACCTTAAAACCACATCGGTAAGTCTCTTCTCCCCGCCCATATGTACAACCTTAAAACCACATCAGTAAGTCTCTTCTCCCCAACCATATGTACAACCTTAAAACCACATCGGTAAGTCTCTTCTCCCCACACACCAACCTGAGTTGGCTCAGTCGTCCTTGTAACATTGAGACATGTTAATTAAGAAAGTAATTAAGCAATTGTAAATGGCATCTGTTACAGTTCCACGATGATGTGAGGTCGGAATTGGTGACCAAGATTCAAAACGAGTACAAAATAGAAAGTGATGGCACCATCTTTACTCTGCTGTTGAACACGATCATGTTGATGGTAAGACTAATTAGCGGGCTGTGGTTGATGGTAAGACTAGTTAGCGGGCTGTGGTTGATGCTAAGACTAATTAGCGGGCTGTGGTTGATGGTAAGACTAATTAGCGGGCTGTGGTTGATGGTAAGACTAATTTGCGGGTTGTGGTTGATGGTAAGACTAATTAGCGGGCTGTGGTTGATGGTAAGACTAATTAGCGAGCTGTGGTTGATGGTAAGACTAATTAGCGGGCTGTGGTTGATGGTAAGACTAATTAGCGGGCTGTGGTTGATGGTAAGACTAATTAGCGGGCTGTGGTTGATGGTAGGACTAATTAGCGGGCTGTGGTTGATGGTAAGACTAATTAGCGGGCTTGTTAATGGTAAGACTAATTAGCGGGCTGTGGTTAATGGTAAGACTAATTAGCGGGCTGTGGTTGATGGTAAGACTAATTAGCGAGCTGTGGTTGATGGTAAGACTAATTAGCGGGCTGTGGTTGATGGTAAGACTAATTAGCGGGCTGTGGCTGATGGTAAGACTAATTAGCGGGCTGTGGTTAATGATAAGACTAATTAGCGGGCTGTGGTTGATGGTAAGACTAATTAGCGGGCTGTGGTTGGTGGTAAGACTAATTAGCGGGCTGAGGTTGATGGTAAGACTAATTATCGGGCTGTGGTTGATGGTAAGACTAATTAGCGAGCTGTGGTTGATGGTAAGACTAATTAGCGGGCTGTGGTTGATGGTAAGACTAATTAGCGGGCTGTGGTTGATGGTAAGACTAATTAGCGGGCTGTGGTTGATGGTAAGACTAATTAGCGGGCTGTGGTTGATGGTAAGACTAATTAGTGGGCTGTGATTGATGGTGAGGCTAATTAGCGGGTAGTGGTTGATGGTAAGACTAATTAGCGGGTTGTGGTTGATGGTAAGACTAATTAGCGGGCTGTGGTTGATGATAAGACTAATTAGCGGGCTGTGGTTAATTGTAGAATAATTAGCAGGCTGTGATTTAAGACATTTGCAGACTGTTGTTGAAGACCTTTTAGTAGGTTGTGGTTGATGGTAAGACTAATAAGCAAGTTGAGGTTTGTAGAAAGACTAATAAGTAGGTTGCGGTTCAAGACTAATTAACAGGCCGTGGATTAGGATTAATTAGCAGGCTGTGATTGATGGTGAGACTAATTAGCTGGCTGTTGTCACACACAGGTGTGCCACCTCACACTTTGGTGCGTTCAGGTAATTTAGGTGACATTTTGGTGCGTACATGCCATATAGGTGACATTTTGGTGCGTTCATGCTATATAAGTGACATATTGGTGCGTTCATGCTATATAAGTGACATATTGGTGCGTTCATGCCATATAGGTGACATTTTGGTGCGTTCATGCCATATAGGTGACATTTTGGTGCGTTCATGCTATATAAGTGACATATTGGTGCGTTCATGCTATATAAGTGACATATTGGTGCGTTCATGCCATATAGGTGACATTTTGGTGCGTACATGCCAAATAGGTGACATTTTGGTGCGTTCATGCTATATAAGTGACATATTGGTGCGTTCATGCTATATAAGTGACATATTGGTGCGTTCATGCTATATAAGTGACATCTTGGTGCATTCATGTCATATGTGACATTTTGGTGCGTTCATGCCACGTAGGTGACATTTTGGTGCGTTTATGCCATATAGGTGACATTTTGGTGTGTTCATGTCATATGTGACATTTTGGTGCGTTCATGCCACGTAGGTGACATTTTGGTGCGTTCATGTCATATAGGTGACATTTAGGTGCGTTTATGCCATATAGGTGACATTTTGGTGTGTTCATGCCAAATAGGTGACATCTTGGTGCATTCATGTCATATGTGACATTTTGGTGCGTTCATGCCACGTAGGTGACATTTTGGTGCGTTTATGCCATATAGGTGATATTTTGGTGCGTTCATGTCATATAGGTGACATTTTGGTGCGTTCATGTCATATATGTGACATTTAGGTGCGTTTATGCCATATAGGTGACATTTTGGTGTGTTCATGCCAAATAGGTGACATTTTGGTGCATTCATGTCATATGTGACATTTTGGTGCGTTCATGCCACGTAGGTGACATTTTGGTGCGTTCATGTCATATAGGTGACATTTTGGTGCGTTTATGCCATATAGGTGACATTTTGGTGCGTTTATGCCATATAGGTGACATTTTGGTGCGTTCATGTCATATAGGTGACATTTTGGTGTGGCTATGTCGCATTGGTGTTCCGCTGACATATTGGTGTTTGACGTTGTCTAGGTGTAATCGTGGCATGTATTCATGTCATCTAGATGTCATGTATAACTAGTCGTTTCGGTTGTGATCTGTATCATCCTATATTTTTCTTTTATACAACTTTTCTCAGTGAACTTTATTTGCTTCAAACTTTATCACTGATATTTCTATTCTTTACAAATTTCGACATGCCTCCCTTACTTCATCAACTGGGTTGACTGGGCACCTCGACTTAGGACCATTCAGTCGTTTTCAAAAATGTCACTAAGAACACAGAAAAAGAAACTTTTACGATCGCCAATTGGCGTATCGAAGTAACCTTTTGCTGACCCTGCTATATAAGAATATAACCGTTGGTCCTTACCCTAGTCATAACCCTGACAGAAACGGGTGTGGGGGCACCTTGATACTATATTCATTTGCTCTATTTCTATTAAAGAAGAAAATGAAATAAAATGGTAATAAAGTTTATAATAATAAGCTTCAAAGTGCACTAAAGATAAAATAAATCAAACTTTTTACTTTCTCATATACTGAGATACAGAGTACGGAGGAAGTATTGTAATCGAGCTCAAAAAGTGACAGTTTTCGCGATTTAACACATCCCTTCTTTATCGTTACGGAATATAAAGGATGTTGTAATCGTACGAAAAATTTCAATCGAGATTTTGACAAATTTACAAGCTCCGTGAGCCGGAAACAATAATTTTGCAAGCCTGTGTATGTGTATATGTGTGTGTACGTTTCCGCTAGTTAAACGAAATTTCATATATAAGTATTATACCAAATTTTCTTAACTTTTGAGTGATTTAAATTAACCGGAAGTGGTACTTGCTCCTCTACCGGTATCTCAAAAGTCTATAACTTGAGTACGGTTTGAATTGGGTGGACGTAATTTTCAATATAAGTCGGCGTATTGCATTGTATGAGCAGATATCTGTCAATTTTCGAACTATTTCCTGTAAATGAAAAATATGTTTTACACTATTACCGTGTGAACACGATAACATAAGCACTGTATCAGTTGGTTGACGAAATTTTATATACAATTAAAATATTTAATTCTTGGATTACTCTCAAATTTGAGGGACCTCCGATATCCGGAAGTGGATCTTTACTTTATTTCAGGTTTCTAAAATACCGTTTAACATCAGTACCGTTAAAGTTAGGTGGACGAAATTTTTAAGCATATGTATAAAAGCACATACTCATGATTCTATTCAATTTTAAACTTAAAGATAGATAAATGGTGGTCATGTGAGCTAAATTTTATAAATTAAAATATGCCTTTGATCTTGACAACATTTGACTCCCCCCCCCCCCCCACCCCACCCCTTTTCAACAGAACGAGTGTTGCGGCATTAACGGCCCAAGTGATTTTACCAACTTGACCTACATCGAAAGAAACAACCCGAATGGAGCGACTATTTTTAGGGTGAGCTAAACTTGTGTGAGCTAAACTAAAGTGAGATTAACTCGTGGGAGCTTAAGGATGTGTGAGCTTAGCTTGTGTGGGCTGAACTTGTGTATAGAGTAGATGAAAATATATGTGTGTCGCCTTCTTCGTCGGCCACACCGTCCAAGTTATGTGTGTTATGCAATAACCAGCGCATGTTATACCATAACTCCCCCCTCCTCCTCAAATTAAAAAACCCACAAATTTGACCTCCCCCCCTTCCACACACACGCACCTCCGCCTCCCAACACACGCATTGTCAACGTAGATGAACATGTGACCCCTCCCTTCCCCCCCTTCACAAGTATAAACAACAGCTTCTAATTAAGGCAACCCTAAAAGACCCCCCCCCCCACACACACACACGCCACTGGACACGGCTCTACTGTACAGTTCCAGAGTGCCCAGTGTGGTAGGTTCCCATTCGCCATTTTCCCTACCTCACCAAACACTACCCCAACCTTGCTTTTGCGATTCACCCTTCCAACTATGACAGCCCCACCCCTTATTCCGGCGATCTCAATCTGTTGTGTCAGTTTGCCCCCTTCCCCCATTTGATCCCTCTCTTTATGTTCCAACGACCTCACTGAACACTTCCAAAACCTCCCCCCCCCCCCAAACCTATTGCTCCTCCTTGCTTTTTTAATTCACCCCCCTCCCACACTTACACACACACATACAAACACACACCCCTGCTTGACCCACTATCTCACTAAATACTGCCCTGCCCTAATATACAGTTCACCCCCCCCCCCGCACGCCCATTCCCCCCCCCCCCCATCGCCTACTTGCCCCCCATGATCTCACTGCCCCACCCTGCTGTTCCAGTTCACCCCCCCTCCCCCATCTTACCCTCTTACCCCACAATATCACCGCCGTACCCACCTTACCCCACAATATCACCGCCATACCCACCTTACCCCACAATATCACCGCCATACCCACCTTACCCCACAATATCACCGCCATACCCAGCTAGCCCAACAATCTCACTGCCATACCCACCTTACCCCACAATATCACCGCCATACCCACCTTACCCCACAATATCACCGCCATACCCACCTTACCCCACAATATCACCGCCATACCCACCTTACCCCACAATATCACCGCCATACCCACCTTACCCCACAATATCACCGCCATACCCACCTTACCCCACAATATCACCGCCATACCCACCTTACCCAACAATCTCACTGCCCCACCATCTGCCCCCCACCCTGCTGTTCCAGTTCACCCCCCCCCCTCCCTCATCTTACCCTCTTACCCCACAATATCACCGCCATACCCAGCTAGCCCAACAATCTCACTGCCCCACCATCTGCCCCCCCCCACCCTGCTGTTCCAGTTCACCCCCCCCCTCCCCCATCTTACCCTCTTACCCCACAATATCACCGCCGTACCCACCTTACCCCACAATATCACCGCCATACCCACCTTACCCCACAATATCACCGCCATACCCAGCTAGCCCTACAATCTCACTGCCATACCCACCTTACCCCACAATATCACCGCCATACCCAGCTAGCCCTACAATCTCACTGCCATACCCACCTTACCCCACAATATCACCGCCATACCCAGCTTACCCCACAATCTCACTGCCCCACCATCTGCCCCCACCCCACCCTGCTATTCCAGATCCCACCTGCCTGCTGTAAGAAATCCATCATAGTCCGGGGAACAGGAGCCGCCAAAGCCTACGAGGTGCTCAAGCAATGCGCCAGGGAAGGAGGAGACCACTCAGAGAACATTAACTCCAAGGTGAACTTTGTCTCATATCTAATATACACACAGGGGCATCACTCACACCCGATATATCTAATATACACACAGGGGCATCTCTCACACTCGGTATATCTAATATACACACAGGGGCATCACTCACACCCTATATATCTAATATACGCACAGGGGCATCTCTCACACCCGGTGCGGTCACCCCCCCCCCCTCCGTCACCTCCAACGGGGCTATAACTAACAATAATATACTACCAGCCAAAAGAAATTTGGTGCCACCCCAACCACGGATGGTGTATACAAATGTGTGTATATTTGTCAATTAACTGGATACATTTAATTAACAAAGGGGAACGACGGTGGGGAAATGACCTAGGCTAAGTGACGGTTGGTGCGTGGGGTAATGCCCTACCCCCATACCAAAATACAAATTTGACAAAACTTGTTGACTCGGCTAAACCTTTGCCCGCCATCTCTGCCCCTGTTTAATGTGATCATTTCTCCTGCACCAGGGCTGCTACTCGCAAGTCTTCCAGCACATCTTCGCCACCCACGGGCAGTGGATGATGGCAGTATTGCTGGTAGTAGCCATTTGGTCGGTAAGTCTCATAGCCGTTTGGTCGATAGGTCTCATAGCCGTTTGGTCGATAGGTCTCATAGCCATTTGGTCGATAGGTCTCATAGCCGTTTGGTCGATAGGTCTCATAGCCGTTTGGTCGATAGGTCTCATAGCCGTTTGGTCGATAGGTCTCATAGCCGTTTGGTCGATAGGTCTCATAGCCGTTTGGTCGATAGGTCTCATAGCCGTTTGGTCGATAGGTCTCATAGCCGTTTGGTCGATAGGTCTCATGGGCGTGGTCGATAGGTCTCATAGCCGTTTGGTCGATAGGTCTCATGGGCGTGGTCGATAGGTCTCATAGCCATTTGGTCGATAGGTCTCATGGGCGTGGTCGATAGGTCTCATAGCCGTTTGGTCGATAGGTCTCATGGGCGTGGTCGATAGGTCTCATAGCCGTTTGGTCGATAGGTCTCATGGGCGTGGTCGATAGGTCTCATAGCCGTTTGGTCGATAGGTCTCATGGGCGTGGTCGATAGGTCTCATAGCCGTTTGGTCGATAGGTCTCATGGGCGTGGTCGATAGGTCTCATAGCCATTTGGTCGATAGGTCTCATGGGCGTGGTCGATAGGTCTCATAGCCATTTGGTCGATAGGTCTCATAGCCATTTGGTCGATAGGTCTCATAGCTATTTAGTCAATAGGTCTCATAGCCATATGGTCGGTAAGTCTCATAGCCATTTGGTCAGTAAGTCTCATCATAGCTATTTGGTCGATAGGTCTCATAGCCATATGGTCGATAAGTCTCATAGCTATTTGGTCGGTAGGTTTCATAGCCATTTGGTCGATAGGTCTCATAGCCTAGTGACTCGATAGGTCTCATAACCTAGTGCTCGATAGGTCTCATATGCGTGGTCGATAGGTCTCATAGCCATTTGGTCGATAGGTCAATCGTCTCATATCCCACTGGCCTGTGTTATATCCCAGTGGTCTGTGTCATATCCCAGTGGTCTGTGTCATATCCCAGTGGTCTGTGTCATATCCCAGTGGTCTGTGTCATATCCCAGTGCCCTGTGTTACAGTCATTTGGTTTTGCAAGAGTAGATATAGGGCTGGTAAGTAGGTCACCAACCAGTTCTACGGCTCAATAAAACCTACATGAGCCTTAGAACTGGTTGGTGACCTACTTACCAGCCCTATAGAGAACAAGAATTATGTCAGATTTTTACTTTAATAAACATTTCTGTTAATGAGCTTCAGTTTGACTATCTGTACCCCTATGTGAACGTACCTCACTTTCTCCCCCCCCCCCCCCCCAGCTGATGCAGATGATCCTATCCATCATCACCATGATGACCCCACCCCCCAAGCCACCAGAGAGGAGACGGTCCAGCCGAGCAGGTTCCATAGCTCGGGCACGCGCTATGTCACAGTCTCACCCCGTCGCCCACAAGCCACCAGAACCCATCAAGAAAACGTTCGTCCCCCTGTCCAAGATCAGTTCCTTCGATCACCCAGACCCCACAAGAATCAAGTCCACGGAAATTTGGTAAACACACCGATCGGATTCAAGCCAGCGGTTGGCGTGTTAAATGTCTGGGTGAGTGGTGGATTAACTAAACCTTTAACAAGCTAATCAGGTTAATTATTGAAACTTGTTGGTTATTGCCTGGAAAAGTAATGGATTAACTAAACCATTAACAAGCTAATCAGGTTGATTATTGAAACTTGTTGGTTAACAAGCTAATCAAGTTTATCAACTATATCCTAAATCGAAACGGGGTAAAATTAATCAAGCTATTCTCCAAGTAGCCTGTAATTTTTTTTTCATTCTTTAATTATCGAAGAACCATAATTTTTTTACAGGCATTATATATCTGGCTATGCCCCCAGCCCTAACACTGTAATCCATAAAACACATTGATACGTATTATTCGTGTGTTATTTACTGCCGACAGTCAAAAAAGTACTTCATTATTCTGATATTTACTGCAGACAGTCAAAGAAGTACTTCATTATTCTGATATTTACTGCAGACAGTCAAAGAAGTACTTCATTATTGTGATATTTACTGCAGACAGTCAAAGAAGTACTTCATTATTCTGATATTTACTGCAGACAGTCAAAGAAGTACTTCATTATTCTGATATTTACTGCAGACAATCAAAGAAGTACTTCATTATTGTGATATTTATTGCCGACTGTCAAAGAAGTACTTCATTATTGTGATATTTATTGCCGACAGTCAAAAAAGTACTTCATTATTGTGATATTTATTGCCGACAGTCAAAGAAGTACTTCATTATTGTGATACATATTTCCAGCTGTCATTACTGTGATGTTATGATCACTACTAACGATCTAAGGTGTTGGCGATTAGCGTAACGTTTCTTTCAGACCAATACAAAGCTCCCTACTAATGCCACTGTTTGTAGGCCAACTTCTCATTTTCTAGAAAACTTATATAACATAATTTAAGGATTCAATACATCTCATCTTGAATTTGTTAATTTTTTTTTTATTTTTTTTTTTACTTCATAATCATAGCTTTTAACTTTTCTTTTTTTCTCATAGGTAGTACATTTTTTATCTTCAAAATGTGAAGAGACGAGTTCTGCGAAACAAATAAGTTTGTTTTTCTTGTTGATTCGCTTTTAAAAAACAAAAAAATAATCTCTAAAACAAAGCGCCAATGTTGAGCACTACCATGTCAAAATGTCCAGGAAAATGTAATGTCAAACATCGATGTTCACACAAAGTAACATCTGCTACTACAAACAAAAAGTTCAATGGTTTCAAATATTTTCATCACAATTGGAACAAGTGTTTACAGGCATGTCTTACATGAAAAAATGCTATTATATTGATACAATAAATTATTTTATAACATCATAGGTTAGTTCTTTTTTTATTTAAAAGATGTTCGTTATAAAAATGAAAGTGAAAGAAACTTGTGAACAATATTCAATGCATGTGTCTGTTTTAAGATTTTTAAATCCTTGTTTTTCTTCAATAACAATTTTCCTTACGTTTTTCTGTGACTTCGTCAAACGGTGTTTTCAAAGATCCAGTTCTAGAGCGGGGTCAATAAAACGTGACAAGAAGGTGCTGGGCATGATGCTAACCACACATAGTGCTGACCATACATAGACTCGGCATGGTGCTGACCACACATAGACGGGGCATGGTGCTGACCACACATAGACAGGGCATGGTGCTGACCACACATGGTGCTGACCACACATAGACTGGGCATGGCGCTGACCACACATAGACTGGGCATTGTGCTGACCACATATGGTGCTGACCACACATGGTGCTGACCACACATAGACTAGGCATGGTGCTGACCACACATAGACTGGGCATGGTGCTGACCACACATAGACTGGGCATTGTGCTGACCACATATGGTGCTGACCACACATGGTGCTGACCACACATGGTGCTGACCACACATGGTGCTGACCACACAGACTGGGCATGGTGCTGACCACACATAGACTGGGCATGGCGCTGACCACACATAGACTGGGCATTGTGCTGACCACACATGGTGCTGACCACACATGGTGCTGACCACACATAGACTGGGCATGGTGCTGACCACATATGGTGCTGACCACACAGACTGGGCATGGTGCTGACCACACATGGTGCTGACCACACATAGACTGGGCATGGCGCTGACCACACATAGACTGGGCATTGTGCTGACCACACATGGTGCTGACCACACATGGTGCTGACCACATATGGTGCTGACCACACATGGTGCTGACCACACATGGTGCTGACCACACATGGTGCTGACAACACATGGTGCTGACCACACATGGTGCTGACCACACATGGTGCTGACCACACATGGTGCTGACAACACATGGTGCTGACCACACATGGTGCTGACCACACATGGTGCTGACCACACATGGTGCTGACCACACATGGTGCTGACCACACATGGTGCTGACCACACATAGACTGGGCATGGTGCTGACCACACATGGTGCTGACAACACATGGTGCTGACCACACATGGTGCTGACAACACATGGTGCTGACCACACATGGTGCTGACCACACATGGTGCTGACCACACATGGTGCTGACCACACATAGACTGGGCATGGCGCTGACCACACATGGTGCTGACAACACATGGCGCTGACCACACATGGCGCTGACAACACATGGTGCTGACCACACATGGTGCTGACCACACATGGTGCTGACCACACATGGTGCTGACCACACATGGTGCTGACCACACATGGTGCTGACCACACATAGACTGGGCATGGTGCTGACCACACATGGTGCTGACCACACATAGACGGGGCATGGTGCTGACCACACATGGTGCTGACCACACATGGTGCTGACGACACATGGTGCTGACCACACATAGACGGGGCATGGTGCTGACCACACATAGACTGGGCATGGCGCTGACCACACATGGTGCTGACCACACATGGTGCTGACCACACATAGACTGGGCATTGTGCTGACCACACATGGTGCTGACCACACATGGTGCTGACCACACATAGACGGGGCATGGTGCTGACCACACATAGACTGGGCATGGTGCTGACCACACATAGTGCTGACCATACATAGACTGGGCATGGTGCTGACCATACATAGACTGGGCATGGCGCTGACCACACATGGTGCTGACCACACATGGTGCTGACCACACATGGTGCTGACCACACATAGACTGGGCATGGCGCTGACCACACATAGACTGGGCATTGTGCTGACCACACATGGTGCTGACCACACATGGTGCTGACCACACATGGTGCTGACCACACATGGTGCTGACCACACATGGTGCTGACCACACATAGACTGGGCATGGCGCTGACCACACATGGTGCTGACCACACATGGTGCTGACCACACATAGTCTGGGCATGGCGCTGACCACACATGGTGCTGACCACACATGGTGCTGACCACACATGGTGCTGACCACACATAGTCTGGGCATGGCGCTGACCACACATGGTGCTGACCACACATGGTGCTGACCACACATGGTGCTGACCACACATGGTGCTGACCACACATGGTGCTGACCACACATGGTGCTGACCACACATAGACTGGGCATGGCGCTGACCACACATGGTGCTGACCACACATGGTGCTGACCACACATAGACTGGGCATTGTGCTGACCACACATAGTGCTGACCACACATGGTGCTGACCACACATAGACTGGGCATTGTGCTGACCACACATAGTGCTGACCACACATGGTGCTGACCACACATAGTGCTGACCACACATGGTGCTGACCACACATGGTGCTGACCACACATAGACTGGGCATGGCGCTGACCACACATGGTGCTGACCACACATAGACTGGGCATGGTGCTGACCACACATGGTGCTGACCACACATAGACTGGGCATTGTGCTGACCACACATAGACTGGGCATTGTGCTGACCACACATAGACTGGGCATTGTGCTGACCACACATAGTCTGGGCATGGCGCTGACCACACATGGTGCTGACCACACATGGTGCTGACCACACATGGTGCTGACCACACATGGTGCTGACCACACATAGACTGGGCATTGTGCTGACCACACATAGTGCTGACCACACATGGTGCTGACCACACATGGTGCTGACCACACATGGTGCTGACCACACATAGACTGGGCATTGTGCTGACCACACATAGTGCTGACCACACATAGTGCTGACCACACATGGTGCTGACCACACATGGTGCTGACCACACATGGTGCTGACCACACATGGTGCTGACCACACATGGTGCTGACCACACATAGACTGGGCATTGTGCTGACCACACATAGTGCTGACCACACATAGTGCTGACCACACATGGTGCTGACCACACATGGTGCTGACCACACATAGACTGGGCATTGTGCTGACCACACATAGTGCTGACCACACATGGTGCTGACCACACATGGTGCTGACCACACATAGACTGGGCATTGTGCTGACCACACATGGTGCTGACCACACATAGACTGGGCATTGTGCTGACCACACATAGTGCTGACCACACATGGTGCTGACCACACATGGTGCTGACCACACATAGACTGGGCATTGTGCTGACCACACATGGCGCTGACCACACATGGTTCTGACCACACATAGACTGGGCATGGCGCTGACCACACATGGTGCTGACCACACATAGACTGGGCATGGCGCTGACCACACATGGTGCTGACCACACATGGTGCTGACCACACATAGACTGGGCATGGTGCTGACCACATATGGTGCTGACCACACATGGTGCTGACCACACATGGTGCTGACCACACATAGACTGGGCATGGCGCTGACCACACATAGACTGGGCATTGTGCTGACCACACATGGCGCTGACCACACATGGTTCTGACCACACATAGACTGGGCATTGTGCTGACCACACATAGTGCTGACCACACATAGCGCTGACCACACATGGTGCTGACCACACATAGACTGGGCATTGTGCTGACCACACATAGACTGGGCATGGCGCTGACCACACATGGTGCTGACCACACATAGACTGGGCATTGTGCTGACCACACATGGTGCTGACCACACATAGACTGGGCATGGCGCTGACCACACATAGACTGGGCATTGTGCTGACCACACTTAGACTGGGCATGGCGCTGACCACACTTAGACTGGGCATGGCGCTGACCACACATGGTGCTGACAACACATGGTGCTGACCACACATAGACTGGGCATTGTGCTGACCACACATGGTGCTGACCACACATGGTGCTGACCACACATAGACTGGGCATGGTGCTGACCACACATGGTGCTGACCACACATAGACTGGGCATGGTGCTGACCACACATGGTGCTGACCACACATAGACTGGGCATGGTGCTGACCACACATAGACTGGGCATTGTGCTGACCACACATGGTGCTGACCACACATAGACTGGGCATGGTGCTGACCACACATAGACTGGGCATTGTGCTGACCACACTTAGACTGGGCATGGCGCTGACCACACATAGACAGGGCATGGTGCTGACCACACATAGACAGGGCATGGTGCTGACCACACATGGTGCTGACCACACATAGACTGGGCATTGTGCTGACCACACATAGACAGGGCATGGTGCTGACCACACATAGACTGGGCATTGTGCTGACCACACATGGTGCTGACCACACATGGCGCTGACCACACATAGACTGGGCATGGTGCTGACCACACATAGACTGGGCATTGTGCTGACCACACTTAGACTGGGCATGGCGCTGACCACACATGGTGCTGACCACACATGGTGCTGACCACACATGGCGCTGACCACACATAGACTGGGCATGGTGCTGACCACACATAGACTGGTCATGGCGCTGACCACACATGGTGCTGACCACACATGGTGCTGACCACACATGGTGCTGACCACACATAGACTGGGCATGGTGCTGACCACACATAGACTGGGCATGGTGCTGACCACACATAGACTGGGCATGGCGCTGACCACACATGGTGCTGATCACATGATTACTCTATAAATTATTGCCTGATTGCGTGAAGTTATGTCGGTGATAGAAAGGTTTTATACGGGATGGCTAAATCAAAGGACGTTTCAGTTATAGAGATTATATGTCGCGTAAGTAATAGTAATATGTTGCAGTAAAAAAAGATATCTGTAGACATATTTATGTGAATAATCCATCTAGATTACTAGATAAACCAGTTAGAACATCTGATCAGATCAGGTAAGCAATGTTAGCTAATTACTTGTTAGGTAATTTTACTCTTGTTTCACACAAATATGACCTGATTCTAATGAAGTGGGTTATAAATGTTCTATACAACTGTGGTTTTATAGTTTCGACTCGCAAATCCATGACGCTGTGTCAGAAAATACCACTCGCGGTAGTGTACATGACGCTAACTCAGCGTCATTTCCGACTTAAAGCGTCTGTCTAAAATAATCCTTTAAGCAAATTTCGCCAGTGAATACAAATTGAGCTAGAATTTATTTTAAAGTACTCTCTAACCAAATGGCTTGTTTTACAACTTCCGGTGTTGGAACGTAGCTGGTGTAGAAAACAAAACAATGCGTCTTGGAACTGCGGGCGTGGATTATTTTGTACGGAGTAACTAATTAACATTAGGCAACATTTAATTAACGTAATTAATTTAATCTACCGCGTTCTGTTGTTAAATGGTGAACATGTTCAGTTTAGAGGTTTGAGAGGGTTAAGTTAAGAGGTTTATGGGGGTTATATTTAGACATTTATGGGGGTTAAGTTTAGAGACTAGAGGTTTGTGGGGGTTAAGTTTAGAGGTTTATGGGGGTTTAGTTTAGAGACTAGAAGTTTGTGGGGGTTATGTTTATACAGGTCAGAGGTATGTTGCAGACTTACACCATCTTTTCATCGATTCTCTTCATTCCTGCTAACTACAACTCTCCAGAGTTCTCTGTCCTGCTTACAGACAGTACGTCCCTATAACATGACCCCCCCCCTTTACTTACAGATAGAGCGTCCCTATAACATGACCCCCCCCCCCCTTTACTTACAGATAGAGCGTCCCTATAACATGACCCCCCCCTTTACTTACAGATAGAACGTGCCTATAACATGACCCCCTCTACTTACAGATAGAAAGTGCCTATAACATGACCCCCCTCTACTTACAGATAGAAAGTGCCTATAACATGACCCCCCCCCCCCTCTACTTACAGATAGAACGTGCCTATAACATGACCCCCCCTCTACTTACAGATAGAAAGTGCCTATAACATGACCCCCCACCCTCTACCAACAGATAGAACGTGCCTATAACATGACCCCCCCTCTACTTACAGATAGAAAGTGCCCATAACATGACCCCCCTATACTTACAGATAGAACGTGCCTATAACATGACCCCCCACCCCTCTACTTACAGATAGAACGTGCCTATAACATGACCCCTCTACTTACAGATAGAACGTGCCTATAACATGACCCCCTATATTTACATACAGTAAGTGCCTATAACATGACCCCCTACTTACATATAGAACGTGCCTATAACATGACCCCGTACTTACATATAGAACGTGCCTATAAAATGACCCCCCTATATTTACAGACAGTAAGTGCCTATAACATGACCCCCTATACTTACAGATAGAACGTACCTATAACATTAACCCCCCCCCCCTACTTACAGATAGAACGTACCTATAACATGACCCCCCCCCCCCCTCTACTTACAGATAGAAAGTGCCTATAACATGACCCCCCCCTCTACTTACAGATAGAACGTGCCTATAACATGACCCCCCCCCCCTCTACTTACAGATAGAACGTACCTATAACATGACCCCCCTCTACTTACAGATAGAACGTGACTATAACATGACCCCCCCTCTACTTACAGATAGAGCGTCCCTATAACATGACCCCCACCCTCTACCAACAGATAGAGCGTCCCTATAACATGACCTCCCCCCTCTACTTACAGATAGAACGTGACTATAACATGACCCCCCAATACTTAAAGAAAGAACGTGCCTATAACATGACCCCCCTCTACTTACAGATAGAACGTGCCTATAACATGCCCTCCCCCCTCTACTTACAGATAGAAAGTGCCTATAACATGACCCCCCTCTACTTACAGATAGAACGTGCCTATAACATGACTTCCCCCCCCCCCCTCTACTAACAGTTAGAAAGTGCCTATAACATGCCCTCCCCCTCTACTTACAGATAGAACGTGCCTATAACATGACCCCCCTCTACTTACAGATAGAACGTGCCTATAACATGACCCCCTATACTTACAGATGGAAAGTGCCCATAACATGACCCCCCCTACTTACAGATAGAACGTGCCTATAACATGACCCCCCCTCTACTTACAGATAGAACGTGCCTATAACATGGGCCTACGTCGAACAACCGATGCCATGGTGTATGCGTGTAACGTGCTCAGTTACGTTCTGTTGACATCCATGTTTGGAACTTACGTGAGTCGCGTTGTGTGTGTGGGGGAGGGGGGGGGAGACTAACGTGGGTCACATTGTGTGTGTGTGGAGGGGGACTTACTTGAGTCATGTGTGTGTGTGTGTGTTTGGAACTTTATATCATCATCCCAAGATGCCAATGTTCCCCTATATCATCATCCCAAGATGCCAATGTTCCCCTATATCATCCTAACAAGATGCCAATGTTCCCCTATATCATCATCCCAAGATGCCAATGTTCCCCTACATCATCATCCCAAGATGCCAATGTTCCCCTACATCATTATCTCAAGATGCCAATGTTCCCCTACATCAAAATCCCAAGATGCCAATGTTCCCCTACATCATCATCCCAAGATGCCAATGTTCCCCTACATCAATATCCCAAGATGCCAATGTTCCCCTACATCATCATCCCAAGATGCCAATGTTCCCCTACATCAATATCCCAAGATGCCAATGTTCCCCTACATCATCATCCCAAGATGCCAATGTTCCCCTACATCATCATCCCAAGATGCCAATGTTCCCCTACATCAATATCCCAAGATGCCAATGTTCCCCTACATCATCATCCCAAGATGCCAATGTTCCCCTACATCAATATCCCAAGATGCCAATGTTCCCCTACATCATCATCCCAAGATGCCAATGTTCCCCTACATCAATATCCCAAGATGCCAATGTTCCCCTACATCAATATCCCAAGATGCCAATGTTCCCCTACATCATCATCCCAAGCTGCCAATGTTCCCCTACATCATCTTCCCAAGATGCCAATGTTCTCCTATATCATCATCCCAAGATGCCAATGTTCCCCTATATCATCCTCCCAAGATGCCAATGTTCTCCTATATCATCATCCCAAGATGCCAATGTTCCCCTATATCATCATCCCAAGATGCCAATGTTCCCCTATTTCATCATCCCAAGATGCCAATGTTCCCCTATATCACCAATGTTCCCCATGTAACCATCCACAGATCGCTGGCGTGGCCATCTTTTTCATAGGGGTCATCTTGACCGCTAGTTTGGATTTCATCATTGAGGAGTACATCGACCGTATGGCTAAAGAGCACAACATGACCCGACTGCTCATCAACTCGTACGAGTCGGTCGTACCAACCAAGGTAAATCTATTGATCACCTAAGGTCATGTGGTATTGGGTCAATCAAGATAAATTGATTTACCACCAAAGGCGATGTCTATTGTATCAACAAAGGTACATTTATCTACCCGCTCAGGTGAAGTGTTGTACTCCCTGTGTACCAAAAAAAAAACGTTAACCTAAAAAACTCACACTTAAAAACATCAAACCTAAAAATACTGAACTTAACAATATCAAACCTAACAAAATCAAACCTTACAATATCAAACCTAACAAAATCAAACCTAACAAAGCCAAACTAAACCTAACAAAATCAAACCTAACAAATTCAAACCTAACAATACCAAACCTAACAAAACCAAACTTAACAAAACAAAACCAAACTAAACCTAACAATATCAAATCTAACAAAAGCAAACCTTACAATATCAAACCTAACAAAATCAAACCTAATAAAACCAAACCTAACAAAACCAAACCCAACAAAACCAAACCCAACAAAACCAAACCTAACAAAATAAAACCTAACAAAGCCAAACCTAATAAAACCAAACCTAACAAAACCAAACCCATCAAAATCAAACCCAACAAAACCAAACCCAACAAAACCAAACCTAACAAAATAAAACCTACCAAAACAAAACCTAACAAAACCAAACCTACCAAAACAAAACCTAACCAAACCAAACCCAACACCAAGCCTCCAAACTTGACCAAACATGTATCCTAGGATGATCTCCCTATTGTGGTAGAGATGGGGGGCTGGGCCCCTACCCTCATGGCCTTCTCTATGCTACTAATGGGGGTTCTCCTCATAATGCTGTCGGCCCTGGGCTGCTTCGTCGTGAGTCGCATGAGGGTGACCCTGCTGTTGTTTGTGAGTACGTTCTATGATTTTTATTTCTTAAGTAGCAGAGGTTTGTTTTAATTGCTAAAAATTTCGAAAAAATATTTATGTATATATATATATATATATATATATATATATATATATATATATATATATATATATATATATATATATATATATATATATATATATATATACAACAATAAAGGCCTATATATATATATATATATATATATATATATATATATATATATATATATATATATATATATATATAGGCTTATATATATAGGCTTATATATATAGGCTTATATATATAGGCTTATATATAGGCCTATATATATATATATATATATATATATATATATATATATATATATATATATACAACAATAAAGGCCTATATATATATATATATATATATATATATATATATATATATATATATATATATATATATATATAGGCTTATATATATAGGCTTATATATATAGGCTTATATATATAGGCTTATATATAGGCCTATATATATATATATATATATATATATATATATATATATATATATATATATATATATATATATTTATATATATATATATATATATATATGGGTTTTAAATTCATGTTCTACATTATTCAAATTGATCTATTTCTCCCTTTGTAACATCAGCTGCTGTTCGTCCTCGTCTTTATGCTGATTGTTCAGTGTGTCTTTCTGTACAGCTTTCTAAACATGGAATCATCGGTAGGTTGTCTTATACTGGTCAATACATCATTGGTTGTATGGTCGGTACATCATTGGTTGTGTGGTCGATACATCATAGGTTGTATGATTAATACATCATTGGTTGTATGGTTAATACATCATTGGTTGTGTGGTCGATACATCATTGGTTGTGTGGTCAATACATCATTGGTTGTGTGATTAATACATCATTGGTTGTATGGTTAATACATCATTAGTTGTATGATCGATACATCATTGGTTGTGTAATCAATACATCATTGGTTGTGTGGTCGATACATCATTGGTTGTGTGGTCAATACATCATTGGTTGTGTGGTCGATACATCATTGGTTGTATGATTAATACATCATTGGTTGTATGGTTAATACATCATTGGTTGTGTGGTCCATACATCATTGGTTGTGTGGTCGATACATCATTGGTTGTGTGGTCGATACATCATTGGTTGTGTGGTCGATACATCATTAGTTGTGTGGTCGATACATCATTGGTTGTGTGGTCGATACATCATTGGTTGTGTGGTCGATACATCATTAGTTGTGTGGTCGATACATCATTGGTTGTGTGGTCGATACATCATTGGTTGTGTGGTCGATACATCATTAGTTGTGTGGTCGATACATCATTGGTTGTGTGGTCGATACATCATTGGTTGTCGATACATCATTGGTTGTACATCATTAGTGCTGACCTGACCTCTTGACCTTGTGACCTGTGTTCCAGCTGCATAAATTCGCCAGGAGTCAGCTGACTAACAGACTGCTGCGTGAGTATGAGATAGGGGCCAGAACTAGCAACACATTTACCGTCGTGCTCAACGCGGTCATGCTCCTGGTAGGTGAGATGTCGGCGTATTCTTGTAATATTGGCTCTTTGTGTCTTTAGTGTTGGCTCTTTGTGTCTTTAGTGTTGGCTCTTTGTGTCTTTAGTGTTGGCTCTTTGTGTCTTTAGTGTTGGCTCTTTGTGTCTTTAGTGTTGGCTCTTTGTGTCTTTAGTGTTGGCTCTTTGTGTCTTTAGTGTTGGCTCTTTGTGTCTTTAGTGTTGGCTCTTTGTGTCTTTAGTGTTGGCTCTTTGTGTCTTTAGTGTTGGCTCTTTGTGTCTTTAGTGTTGCCTCTTTGTGTCTTTAGTGTTGCCTCTTTGTGTCTTTAGTGTTGCCTCTTTGTGTCTTTAGTGTTGGCTCTTTGTGTCTTTAGTGTTGGCTCTTTGTGTCTTTACTCACTGTTGGCTCCTTGTGTCTTTAGTGTTGGCTCTTTGTGTCTTTAGTGTTGGCTCTTTGTGTCTTTAGTGTTGGCTCTTTGTGTCTTTAGTGTTGGCTCTTTGTGTCTTTACTCACTGTTGGCTCTTTGTGTCTTTAGTGTTGGCTCTTTGTGTCTTTAGTGTTGGCTCTTTGTGTCTTTAGTGTTGGCTCTTTGTGTCTTTAGTGTTGGCTCTTTGTGTCTTTAGTGTTGGCTCCTTGTGTCTTTAGTGTTGGCTCTTTGTGTCTTTACTGTTGGCTCTTTGTGTCTTTAGTATTGGCTTTTTGTGTCTTTAGTGTTGGCTCTTTGTGTCTTTAGTGTTGGCTCTTTGTGTCTTTAGTGTTGGCTCTTTGTGTCTTTAGTGTTGGCTCCTTGTGTCTTTAGTGTTGACTCTTTGTGTCTTTACTGTTGGCTCTTTGTGTCTTTAGTGTTGGCTCTTTGTGTCTTTTACTGTTTGTTCTTTGTGTCTTTAGTGTTGGCTTTTTGTGTCTTTAGTGTTGGCTCTTTGTGTCTTTTACTGTTTGTTCTTTGTGTCTTTAGTGTTGGCTTTTTGTGTCTTTAGTGTTGGCTCTTTGTGTCTTTAGTGTTGGCTCTTTGTGTCTTTAGTGTTGGCTCTTTGTTTTTTTAGTATTGGCTCTTTGTGTCTTTAGTGTTGGCTCTTTGTGTCTTTAGTGTTGGTTCTTTGTGTCTTTTACTGTTTGTTCTTTGTGTTTAGTGTTGGCTCCTTGTGTCTTTAGTGTTGGCTCTTTGTGTCTTTACTGTTGGCTCTTTGTGTCTTTAGTATTGGCTCTTTGTGTCTTTTACTGTTTGTTCTTTGTGTCTTTAGTGTTGGCTTTTTGTGTCTTTAGTGTTGGCTCTTTGTGTCTTTAGTGTTGGCTCTTTGTGTCTTCTACTGTTTGTTCTTTGTGTCTTTACTGTTGTCTCTTTGTGTCTTGTGCTGTTGGCTCTTTGTGCCAATGTGTTCTTGTACAACGTGGTAGAACGGTAGAGCGCTAGACTGATGATTTTAAAGCCTCGAGTTCGTACTGCCGTATATATACCCTCACGCTAACCATGAACCTGCCCCCCCCCCTTTCTATTTGCAGGCACACTGTTGTGGCATTAATGGCCCGTCGGATTTCAAAGCCATCAACATGACGTTCGTGTATTCCCTGGACAAACACACCCATAGCTTACAGCTGACGGTCCCACCCGCCTGCTGCAAGGAGAGCTTCATCGAACGCGGCTTCCGGCAAACGTTGACGTGCGCCCACTCTAGGGACCTCAGCAACATAAACAGTCAGGTGAGATATGACGTCAGAGGTGAGACGTGACGTCAGTGATAGTCGGGTGGAGGATGACGTCACCAGCAGTCAGATGTGTGATATTTATAAAGTTTAAAGTGAGACGACATCTGCGTATATAAACTCAAGCAACTAAAACAGACATCCATTTTATCTCATGTTATCTAGTGGGAAGTAATTTCGTGTGTAGAGATACATTTAATATTATTTGATAGGCATTTTTTGTTAATAATTAACCCTGCTCGTTTATAATACTAGATATTATAAAAAATTCTGCTTAACTCTACTGCCTCTTCGCCTAGGACTGCTACTCAATCGTGTTTCAGCTACTGAGTAACAAGCTCTCGCGTGTAGGTGCATTGAACATCATCGTTGCAACACTGCTATGGGAGGTAAGTCTGTTCTTCCAGGTCACACGAATCAATTCATGAGTTGTCTGCTCATTATACATACGTTTGTTGTTGTTTTTTTAATACTTTTGTATATCAGTCTTAAAATAAAATACTATTTAAAAAAACATACTGGAACAAGAACACGGCGCAATATCTTGCAATCGATATTCATAACTCAGATATTAACAACAATTAGCCTTGTTTTGAGTAGACAATAAAATTATCCACAGTTTATGTAAGTCATCACTCTACTGTTTTACCAATTCTATCCACAGTTTTTACAAACTTTCATCACTCTACTGCCCTACCAATTGTATCCACAGTTTTTACAAACTTTCATCACTCTACTGCTCATCTTCCAACCCAAGCCAGAGGAGCTGTCAGCCATGAAACAGGCGCTAGCTGCAGCCAGAGAGTATAAGGTGGGTCACCCATCGCTTCATAAGATCAAAAAATGGTAGCCTTAAAAAAATCAGGTAATTCTGATCAACTTTGCCCATTATTGATCTTTGTTACATAATATGTTGCTTTTATCCATTTTGACAAAGATTTTCACTTGTATCTGTTTGTTTAAAGTACTGTTACATTTTTTGTTTGCAATGTTTTTCCCTTTCGTGTATTCAATTAATTACATTTTTTTTTTAAATTAAACTCTTTAAACATTTTAATTAAATTATAGATTCAATTAAGTGCTTTGATTAGAAAAATCAACGTATTATTGTTTTTTTTTTTAAATCAATGCCAAAAAATAATGAAATCTGTCACCAAATGCTTTTATTAGAGCTGATAAGTCTGCTTGGAATAGTCTTCTGTACAGTAGCGTAGCCAGGATCGTCTCATTGGGGGAGGGGGGGTTCAAATTTTTACCCGGGGACAATTTATCGATTTGCACCCCCCCCCCCCCCTCAAACTTTCGATTTGCATCCCCCCCCCCCCCTCAAACTTTCGATTTACACCCCCCTCATACTTTACATATATACCGAGGGGTCTAACCCCCCCCCCTGCCTACGCCACTGCTTCTGTATTCACAAGCAACAAGGGTGGACATAGAAAATAATCCAATACTGTACCTCAGTCTCAGTTAAAACTTGAGTGCAGTTAGCACCTGATTATTTACATCAAGCTGTGGTGTTTATACTTGTAAAAATAGACCTTTACCCATAAGATAGGCACATACAAAATGTGGGTGGCTCATCTACCTCCCCCGTCCCACCACACACACTTACATCCCACCACACACTTACGTTCAATCTTAACAAGTTGACTCAGGTGAATGGCTGAAGTGAGTGGTGAGGCTGATCACAATCATAATCTTGTTAAAAGAATTTTTTTTATCTATTACTTGAAACATTTACCCAAGTTCTACAACCTGTGATTATTTTTAGAATTACCTTCCTTTGTGTATATTTTATCAAAAGATTTCTTTAGAAATTTTAATGTCCTTTGTTGACCTGCCATTCCACTGTCACTGAAACCTACCCCAGCCACTGTTCCTCCGAAACCTACCCCAGCCACTGTTCCATTTTTGTTACCTCAGGACTCTGTGAACCCGCCTATACAGGGGCCCTCCAAGGCTTACACTATTTTTGTTCCTTTTGCTGAGGGAACATCAGAGCACTGTGGCCAGGTCACAGAGATATGGTGACAACATAAGCATGGAATAAATAGACTTTCTCAACACTTTGTACTGGTTTTGTTTTCTTTATGTTTTGTGTTGTAGACATGTAGCAGAAATCTAGTCATGTTTTTTTCACATATTCATATTAGGAATATTCACAAATGCCTGTATAATAAAAATCACCAAGCCCATAGATGTTACTCAATAATGGAATTAGCAAACAAATAAGATGTCCTTAGTTTTAAATTCAAGGTCATATTTATAAAATATATTCCCTATTTTTTTTAAATATAGGAAGTTATGTCTCAGTCTCAAATCCAATAAAATAGATGTTGAAAATAGCTAACATTAAAAACAAACAAAAACTGAGTCAACAAAGAACTGCCTTAAAATCATGACATATTAACTCAAGAAAAAATTTAATCTGGGTAAAAAATTTAATCATAACTTTGTCAACAGAACATAGGTGTATGTGACAATGCCAATCAAAATATTTCAGACAACACATAAGGTCATTTAATATAACTACATGACTGAGAACTGACCTATGACCAGTCAATATAACTGACCTTGACCTGAAGGTCAGTATTACACAGCTGTCTGACACAGTAACTGATCATTAATTTACACCTTGTAAAATAAATAGCTGTCAATCACACACCCCCTGCCAGCCCCACCCCACTCAACTATGAATCAACCCTTCGGAACTATTTTACTTTTTTAACCAAGTTCACATGAACAAACTCAATAGTATCACTTATTTACACAACTATTCTAGGAGTAGTGACAACAGTCAACCATTCAGTGTGAAAATAAGAACTCTCTTATTTCAATACAACACAACAAATATCTCTAAATGGCCTTATAAACAGAGGAATGCTAAATGCTGTATGTAAAAAACACATTGAATCAAAACTGGAGAAATTACACTTAAAACATTAAATAGTTAACATCACAAAGTTATAGAATATCTAGTTAAATTCTCAAACACCCACAAATCATTGAGCTCATGATTGGGGTTTCCACATGCCGGACAATATTTTTTTTAAAAGGTGCTAAAATGCTATATATGGGCACTAACTCAGTTACACCGACTATTAACACAGTAGGTTCATTTCTTCTAGATAAATAAATAGAAATAAAATATAACAAACATCTCAACACACACATTCTTGCTGTGAGAATTGTACATGAATACTTCAGTTCACTGAACTGATGACCACTAATAGAAATGGTACACAGATGCAACATGTTTCTTCTGGTTCATGTAAAAAACTTTCATCCCTCACATGGATTATGGCGATCACACTGGCAGCAAAATCCACAATTTAATCCAGTCAACATTTTAATCCTCTCAACTAACATTTTAATCCTCTCAACCATTTTAATCCACTTAACTCCATGTTTTTTAAATCCATCCATGACATTTTTAATCCACTCAACTCCATATTTTAATTCAGCCCTCCATATTTTTAATGCACTCAACTCCACATTTTAATTCAGCCCTCCATATTTTTAATCCACTCAACTCCACATTTTTATTCAGCCCTCCATATTTTTAATCCACTCAAATCCACATTTTAATTCAGCCCTCCGCATTTTATATCCACTCTACATCATGTTTCCCCACCAACAAAAACAAACCCTACTGAGCTTTTCTTGGTTTGGTTTTTCGTTTGACCGGAGATGACTCTCCAAAGAAATCTGAGGGCAGCGGTGCGTCAGGGGAAGGTGAGTTTGAACTTGAGGAAGACGTGGATGAGGAGGTGGGTGAGGAGAGGCCTGTGGGTGCCTTCATGGCCACAGCCTGCACATGTTGGTAGACATTCAGAAGGTATGGGACAACCTGGAGACGACAAAAGTTTTTATGTGGGTTAATACAAGAACAATTCTTAAACTACTTGATACATATTTAGTAAAGAATAAAACATGTCCAATTAAATGCAAATACTAAAATTAATTCTTAAAAGCACAAATTATTACACAAAATTGCTTGTTTCTTGGCCCAAAGGCAAATCTACTGTAACTCATCTGATATATAAAGCTTTTGTATTAGATTACTTGCTACTGAGATAAGTTATGGCCATTAAAACTGTGACTCACCGTCTTGTGGTTGTAGATTAGAGCCACCAATATAGCAATGATGGGCAGGACAAGGAAGGAGCCTTGGTTTAGATCTTGGTCCACTGATTTGGGCTGGTAGAGACAAATACGGCTTAAGTTAACAGCAGAATGTTTTATATTTATAGCAAGAGACGTGTTCACTTCAGTAGAATATTTTAAATTTATAACAAGAGACATGTTTACTTTAGTAGAATATTTTGTGTTATAGCCATGTTTTTTATGTTTATTTCAGACTTTTGCTTTGATTACTGTTTAGTCACAATCATCAAGTTGATTATACTTCAAAGATTTTAATATCCATTAAAAATTAGTCAGTGAATACATCAACTTCTTTGATTTTTGTTTACTTTTTTTTTTTGTGAGTCTAGGACTATGTCATTCATTTGATTAAAGTGTCTGTGTGTACAGGTGTCTCATGTACATGTGTCTCATACCTTAGGGTTGAAGACAAATGTGTCTGTGTTTACAGGTGTCTCATACCTTAGGGTTGAAGACAAATGTGTCTGTGTTTACAGGTGTCTCATACCTTAGGGTTGAAGACAAATGTGTCTGTGTTTACAGGTGTCTCATACCTTAGGGTTGAAGACAAATGTGTCTGTGTGTACAGGTGTCTCATACCTTAGGGTTGAAGACAAATATGTCTGTGTTTACAGGTGTCTCATACCTTAGGGTTGAAGACAAATGTGTCTGTGTGTACAGGTGTCTCATACCTTAGGGTTGAAGACAAATGTGTGTACAGGTGTCTCATACCTTAGGCTTGAAGACAAATATGTCTGTGTGTACAGGTGTCTCATACCTTAGGGTTGAAGACAAATATGTTTGTGTGTACAGGTGTCTCATGTACATGTGTCTCATACCTTAGGGTTGAAGACAAACGTGTCTGTGTGTACAGGTGTCTCATACCTTAGGGTTGAAGACAAATATGTCTGTGTGTACAGGTGTCTCATACCTTAGGGTTGAAGACAAATATGTCTGTGTGTACAGGTGTCTCATACCTTAGGGTTGAAGACAAATATGTCTGTGTGTACAGGTGTCTCATACCTTAGGCTTGAAGACAAATGTGTCTGTGCGTACAGGTGTCTCATGTACAGGTGTCTCATACCTTAGGGTTGAAGACAAATGTGTCTGTGTGTACAGGTGTCTCATACCTTAGGGTTGAAGACAAATGTGTCTCATGTACAGGTGTCTCATACCTTAGGGTTGAAGACAAATGTGTCTCATGTACAGGTGTCTCATACCTTAGGGTTGAAGACAAATGTGTGTGTACAGGTGTCTCATGTACAGGTGTCTCATACCTTAGGGTTGAAGACAAATGTGTCTCATGTACAGGTGTCTCATACCTTAGGGTTGAAGACAAATGTGTCTCATGTACAGGTGTCTCATACCTTAGGGTTGAAGACAAATGTGTCTCATGTACAGGTGTCTCATACCTTAGGGTTGAAGACAAATGTGTCTCATGTACAGGTGTCTCATACCTTAGGGTTGAAGACAAATGTGTCTCATGTACAGGTGTCTCATACCTTAGGGTTGAAGACAAATATGTCTGTGTGTACAGATGTCTCATACCTTAGGGTTGAAGACAAATGTGTCTCATGTACAGGTGTCTCATACCTTAGGGTTGAAGACAAATGTGTCTCATGTACAGGTGTCTCATACCTTAGGGTTGAAGACAAATATGTCTGTGTGTACAGGTGTCTCATACCTTAGGGTTGAAGACAAATGTGAAGTGCCTGTGTGATCTGTTGGCAGCAAACTCAACAGACGGAAGTTTATAATCATACTCAGATCTTGACAGGCTGCTCTCCAGGGTCAGAAGGTAATTCTAGGGAGATAAAAACATCAGGTGTCAAAACATCAGGTGTCAAAACATCAGGTGTCAAAACATCAAGTGTCAAAACATCAAGTGACAAAACATCAAGTTTCAAAACATCAAGTGTCAAAACATCAAGTGTCAAAATAAAAAAAAAGTAAAGTTTCCCTTTCAGACTTGACGGTCTATGGGGCAAGTGAAGTAGAGTTCACTTGTTTCTGTGACCTCGGCATATGAAGAGATAGTGTGGTCAGAACTATGCCCAGCCGCCTTTACTTTCCCTAACGTGAGTTAGGTACCCATCAGAGTTGGGTGGACTCAGGGACGCTCTACTGACTAGAACCCGGATTCGAGCTCGAGACTTACAGGTCAGCAGTCCAGCTCTCTACCGCTAGACCACTCCGTCCCATAAGTGTCAAAATATAAAGTGTCAAAACATGCAGTTCTGGGGAGATGGAAAAACCTTACTATTTTTGTTTATAACTGAGACAAAAATTCCAGAGATTGGGCAACAAATCCCTCACCTTATTGTCCATCACTAGTGTTGACATTAAACTATATTTATAACTGAGACAAAAGTTCAAGCCACAAATTCCTCACCTTATTGTCCATCACTAGTGTTGACATTAAACTATATTTATAACTGAGACAAAAGTTCCAGCAACAAATTCCTCACCTTATTGTCTATCACTAGTGTTGACATTAAACTATATTTATAACTAAGACAAAAGTTCCAGCAACAAATTCCTCACCTTATTGTCTATCACTAGTGTTGACATTAAACTATATTTATAACTAAGACAAAAGTTCCAGCAACAAATTCCTCACCTTATTGTCTATCACTAGTGTTGACATTAAACTATATATATAGCTGAGACATACGTTCCAGCAACAAATTCCTCACCTTATTGTCCATCACTAGTGTAGGCAGGAAGAAGAAAGATGACTTGCTGAGAGCCACAATATGTATAGGTGTGTCAGGCTGGGCTTCACTCACCAGGCTCACCTGTACAGAAATAAGGTCAGTTTTTATTATTCATACATGTAGGTGTTCTATGTAACTTGTACAATTCTATGAACTAATCAAACATTGATCTACTACCTAGAGAGTATGCAAAAAATTTTAGATTTGTTCTGAATTACCTTGAGAGTGTGTAAAAATTTCAGATTTGTTGTGAATTACCTTGAGAGTGTGTAAAAATTTCAGATTTGTTGTGAATTACCTTGAGAGTGTGTAAAAATTTCAGATTTGTTGTGAATTACCTTGAGAGTGTGTAAAAATTTCAGATTTGTTGTGAATTACCTTGAGAGTGTGTAAAAATTTCAGATTTGTTGTGAATTACCTTGAGAGTGTGTAAAAATTTCAGATTTGTTGTGAATTACCTTGAGAGTGTGTAAAAATTTCAGATTTGTTGTGAATTACCTTGAGAGTGTGTAAAAATTTCAGATTTGTTGTGAATTACCCTGAGAGTGTGTAAAAATTTCAGATTTGTTCTGATATTGCCACTGATGTCCATTTGATTCATGCGACGGAAAGCAATGATGTTGATGTCTTGGAGATCAGCAGTTGATACCTGTTCACAAGAAACATGAAATTAACATAATCAGTCCATGTAAAGAACAATCTAGGTAAAGTATAGCTATCATGAAGTATGATCAAAGTATAGCAGGACTAATGTAAAAACAAGTTAATTAAAAAGTCTAGTGACATTTAAGCGCAATTTCCTTATGTTATCTAAAAATAGCTCTGTCGTAGCGTAAATCAAGAGCAGGGTTAGTAAAACCATTGGTTAAAATACATGTTTTATTTACAATAGAGTTACATGACTAAAAACCATTGCGCGCCTAGCTACCGAACGTGATGACGCAGCCATTGAACGTGATGGCGCTGCTATTGAACGTGATGACGCGTGTGGTGTGGTTGGATAAAAATGCCTACTAATTCGGTCCAAATTTTAATTAATTCAAAAAAAAAATTGTGACCGAACGAAAGGATATTTTTGAAAACTTTCTTCGGCAATATTGTTCTAAATTATGGCAGGAATCGATTGGTACATGTTTCAAGTTGCAAAGTGGTCTCGTTGCCGAGATATAAGCCAAAAACTGCATTTTTTCGAGGTTTTTTGGTTTTTCCGGGAAATCCATGAAAGAAACCCGGAATTTTTATGGCCTATATTCATCCTCGTAACTTGCTTAACATAATTGCTTTTGGAACTAGTCATCGATATTGCTTCATTGAGGAGGAGATACGACTTAAAGCTGCGGACACACATTCATCCATCCATTCATCCATCCAGAAATGACGGGTTAATAAACGCAATTCTCCAGAATGGAAATTGCGCTAAAAAAAGGATTTAAGTAATGCATGAGTAATGTAACACAAGATCCACATATAAAGCATGACTATAATAAAGCAGTGTACGGTACCTGAACCTGTCTGGCAGTAGGTGCTGTACGCTCTATGTGTGTGTTGACTTCACCAGACTTGAGGTGAATGTCATACAGGCAGTTGGGCTGGAAACAAATCAATCAACGATGTCATTAGAAATGTGGCTTCCCTATCAAACTTAAAAAATTCATAAAACTGGATTTATGAATCAACACTCATAAAATTGTTCACTATGAATTCAGAAATGTTTCTTCACAGAATCATACAGTCAAGCTGAGGTGAGATCCAGTCCAGCCAGTAAAAAAAAATGGTTACCTGCAGCCCTCTGATCCTGTAGGAGCCATCTGTCTCTGTCTTGCTCTCCTCCTGGTACACACTGCAGTCACCCTTGCCCAGAGCTTCTATGATGATGCCAGGCTCAGGTTCACCATTCAGGGAGGTCACTTTGCCAAAACAGCTAAAAACAAAAAAATTTTGGGGTCACTTCACTTAAACACCAATCTGCACGTTGATAAATTTGTCAGAAAAATAAAAATTTAAAAATTTCACTATGAAGGATTTAACCTTGCCTAAACTAAAGCAAAATTTTAGGGGAACATTTGGAAAGAAAGAAATAATTACAGATAATTATAAAGAATGTCCTTAGCTAAAAAAAAACTAAAAATATGATTTAACCTTAAACTTATTTTGTTTCTTCATATTTTACTTCATGTTATTAAGAATTTAATGATAACAGCATTACAAAGTATAAGGCAGTTTACTCACCTAAAGGCAACCCTAGCACCTTTGATGCTGATTTTCTCAGTTGTCCCCTCTTGTACAATGATGATCTGTGAGGCTGGTTCAAACTTGTATTCCTTCATCATTGGGCGGAGAAAATACTGACCAGGGCTCTGTAATAATGTCACTCAATACTTTTAAATACAAATCTAAGATCTAGATTATCATGTACTATTTTTGGCAACACTTGCACATTGCTATCTGTGATTTTGAGTAAACAACAGTTATAATACCATAAAGACAGAAAGTGAAATTAGGAAGAGTTTTATAAAGTTCTAACAACAATGTGAATTTATACATTTTATTACTGCTAAAACTAATCATACCTTGCACTTTTAAGTTTAAAATTAATTAAATTTGTAAATTTTCATCAATATTAGAATTACAAAGATCTAGTTTACTATGAAATTCCCTTAGTTAAAATATATAGGTTTTGTCAAATTTTTAAAATACTGAAAATACTGTTGTGCTACTCACTAATCCTGTGAAAATCATGTGACCATCTGTCCCAGTCACATTATTGGACCTGTACTGGTGGTCACCACTCAGAGAAAGAAGGACACTGGGCAGAGGTTGACCTTTCTCATCCAACATCTGTGGGACCAAAGTAACTATTACCACTCTTAATAAAAATAATTATTTTGAACTATACAAGACATTCATACAAATTTTTAGAAATTACCTTTTCTTTTAAAACATAAAATAACAATAAGCCAATGCTGAATAAGTAACAGAAAGTTGTTTTAGCTCATATTAATTTTTTTTATACTGATAATTTTAAAGTTTTTTATCTTTCTCTTTTTATCTTTCTTGCTATTACTACCTACATTTTTTAAATTTATTTAACTTTTAATAAATGCCTATGTAGCCTACAATACTACTCCAACCAAACAGACACTACCCAACACTGTACCTGTACTGCTATTTCCCCTAGCTTAAATGCTCTAAATAGCAGGGAGTCCTCCTTTTCTTTAGACATCACATAACCTTCTTTCTCTGCAGCTACCAGATATTTCTTGTCAGCATGAAGGGGGCCAACTCTAGAGGGTTTTTTTTAAAGTACAAATATATTCATGATATAATGGATGCATTAATACAATTAAGTGATGGAATGATTATCAACTGATTGATGGAAGCCAGCTATTATAATGGAGACAAAGCTAACCTGTACTTCCCTTGGCTGTCTGTGATGAGGACAATGGGTGTCATAGTACCACTCTCATCACTCACAGTGACTGTGACACCACTGAGTGAGGGTGTTATTTTACCCTCAATAAACACTCCTTTACGACCAATCAAATCAACAATCTTCCCTGGACACCCATCTAAAATTGAATAAAAAGTTACATAAATAGTTTTAAGATTAAAAAACATTTAGTTTGAATTACCAATGCCCAAAGAACTACACATGAATAATAGAATTCAAACGATGAAGCCTACTTTTATTAAATTAATCTAGTTCTGTAAGGACTAAAAACACAACTGAAAAGGGAAACCTTAACTTAAACCAAATTTAATTACATTGGGAATTTTTAGGATTTAAAAGCAAAACTTGTAATTAAGGCAAGTCACATGAGGGTAAAGAAGAGAAAAAAGAATGCAGTACTTACCACCACTGATAAAAGCATCAACGGAGCTGGGGTAAAACAGGACATCAGATGACTTGGCTGATACAGTTAGAGTCTCACCTGACCTGTGACCAAAAGATTTACACTCAGAGACTGTTTAAATATAGCAGCTACAGAATGGTACTTGATACAATCTATTTGTCTAAAGGCTGCAGTTATTCAGTCTGAATAACATACCAGTGTAAGGCTGAAGTGAACCCTGAAAACCATACTAGCACACAAGCTCTTGGTGAAACATTAAACCTGAATAACTCACCTATTTGCCAACTTGAGGGAAAGAAAATTTAAATGCCTAAAGACTGTGGTTTTACATTTAATGACATACCTGTCTACAGTTTGTGGGACAATGAATGACTTACACATTGACAGAATGATGAAACATACCTGGCCCAGTGTGAGAAGTTATACACTGTTGTTGTCGGCTGCTTCTTGTTTTCCTTATCTGCACTGGCGGCTGAAGCTTTGGCCGCTGATGTTGCTGTTGTGTTCGGCTTGAGTGGACCCAGGACAGTTGGAATATCATCCACAGAGGACCTGTTGATAGGTTCATTACACTCATAGGTCCAACAGTCACTTGGATTGTGATAAGAGTGAAGAATATAAAAACTAGGAGCTTACTTGATGGTGATGACTATATCATCAACAGGGATGTCTGTGGTCACAGTCCCCAGGGCAAGGTGCTGGATAGCAGTGAGGGTTAGGATCAGTGGGTTAGAGCTGAAAAAGTTATTGTATACGTTAGAAACTCAATTAAAAAATCATTAAAAACAAACTGAAATTTGCAATAGAAATAATGCACTTTGTTACCTAAGGAAAAGAAAAAAGTATTTAAAATATATTCATTGAGAAGAAGCAAAATAAAGAATGTACACTATCAAAATGGCATTGTTAAGCCTAGCACAAAGACAGTATTATAAACACATGAATGATACTGGACTTAAATCATCAGAAATCAATTTCACAATAATGTAAGTAAGTTTATTTTTCGCTATTTATAACTCATAAGTTTTTAAATATGATTCATGCTTAAATATTTGTTTTAAATTTACAAGACAAGAAACACCACAACTACTTGATCTTAATAGCTTGAAAAGCAATAAAAATAGCAACCTGACTCAATTATTCATAACAATGTTTTCTACACAAGTAAAAAGAGTGGTAAGACTAACGTGTCATAGCTATAATTCTCCTGATCAAAACGGTGGCAGGAATCTGGTGTCAGCTGGTAAATCCCTGGATGAGCTAGACAAAACCTGTTCAAACCTTTGTCCAAAAGGAAAGATCCTACACTTTTCTCTTTCTTATTGTCTGCAAAGTTCTGGAAATAATCATTTTCATCTCTTATTAATAAAGCATATGCAATACATTTCTAAACTATGTTTGTTTTCAAATGGAAAGAAAAAAAATTAAAAACTTGGGGAATGGTAGCATTAAAAAATAAATTTCATCCAATTAATTATTATCTGTTATATACAGGTCAATTTACAAAAAATGCCTGTAGTTTTTTTTTTACTAAGCATTTAACAATTTTTTTTAAATAAGCATTTAACTAAACTACCACTAGAAAGAAATATGGGTAACAAATGTGTGCTTACAATGGTAATGGGATGAGAAACACTGCACTTGAGGATGTAGCCAGTGTGGATAAACTCCAGGCCCGTCAGGTCATTATCCAAGACATCCAGTTCAATGGATTTTTCTTTCCAGCACCAGTTATCCAGGAGAATGGATGCTGACAGGGGAACAAAAATATAACCAATACAAATAAAAGATATCAGACCAATAGGTTATTTTAACAGGCAGCAAGACTTCTGGGGTCAAGTATTAAAGATGGTTCTGGGATCAAGTAACAGTTTAACTAAACAGTACAAATTAGCACCTGGCATCAAATAACAATATAAAGACTGGAGTTATGTGGTCAGCCGGTGAATAATGCCAGAGACCTGATCAAGTACTGTATATAAAAAGTTTTAAGCATTGTGCTGATCAGTATCATTAGCACTAGCCATCAACAAATGAGATATAGTTCTTCAACCCCAAGAAAAATTAAGGGCTATTAAGTGGCTATCATTCTTAAAGATCTTAGACATTAAAATTCACAGTGCATTTTGTTCCATTTTTTTTTTCAAGTATAAATACAAGCCTCTAAAAATGTGTAATAAAAACAGGGTACCTTTGTATTTTCCTGGCATAACATTCTCAAATGTAAAAGAGGCCTCATTGCCAGATAGTTTTGCTGTGGTTCTCATCTGGGTATCAGTCCTGCCAACAACATCCAGGGTAATCTCCGTGTTCTGGCACTTTTCTGATCAGAAGGAAATAGATTATGAAAATTTATATGGGTTTAGATCAGTCCAAGACAAGCTGTAATTTTTATTCAGTCTGTGTCTAATCCCGTCCTTTCATTGAAACTCTAATACTGTTAATAACAAGGAAATTCTAATAACTTTACCCCCAGAAATTCTCATAAACTGACACTGAAAGAAATCGTAATGCTATGTAAAAGGCTAAAATTTCTTACCCATGCATTTGACACTGCCAGAGATTTTGGCTCTAAACTGAGAGAAGTTCACATCAAGGACAGGCTTGTTCAACACAACCACAACCCTTTCAGACGGGGTCAAGGTCAAACCAGCCTTGATTTCAACATCACTCATGTACACCTGGAAACAAATTAAATTCAAATAACTAAAACAATGTGTACAAAGGAAGACCCATCAAGTACACAGTAAAGTAACTACTTTTCTCCAGGAAACATTTTTCATTCAAATACTTAGAACTTATGATTTGATTATTGTTAAGTTGTCTGAAACCTAATATTTTACCCTATCTCATTTTCAATATTTTCCCAATTCTTACTATGGAGATTGTCCTGAACTTCAAAATGAAAACAAGTACTTTAAAACAAAGCAATATTTCTAACAATGTAGCTGTGTTAGAAATGCCTCATACCTTCACTATATATTTCTCAGATTTAACCAGTTCACAGAACGAGCCAGTAGAATCAGTTGTTACAGATTTGGCATCAGAACCTTTGCCCTCAGGGTAGTAGATGACTTTCCTTTGACTGGAGAGTTTACCCAGGCTCTCTGGCACTCTGTCTATGCTGACTTTACCACACATGTTGAAGCTGAAGGAAAAATTACCTGGCTTAGCACTACATAAACACATGATGAATTATAATGTTATAAAAACTAAGAGATGTGTGGTCAAGTGGTGCAGCCCATGACCACTAACCCAAAGTATCTAGTTTGATTACCAGACTAGGATTATGGGTCTTATCTCTAATGAGTTGGGGAAAATGAAAGTATCTGGTCATGTTGGGGACCACCAAGTCCCTTCATTGGCTGCATCACAAAAAAAGGTGGACTCTACCTACTACTAAAAGGGTACATCAATAAACAAAACAAATTTAAGCCACTGACCAACAAAAGCACACAAAATGTATTTACCCTGAAGCAATTAAATTTGGTAGCTGAGGGGTCTTGGGTGTGATCTCCACAGACATCTCCTCAAAGGCAACATTATCAACCCTAGCAGTCAGCCTATAGGTCCCAGTCTTCATGTTCTCCAAGCTAAATGAGCCATCTGATCCACTTGTGGTTTGGTCTTTGCCATTTATGATGATCGTAGCTTTGGGAATCCCTACTCCCTAATCAAGATAAACGTTTATTTTGATAGATGAAAGTTGTTTAAGAAATACCTATTTTTTAATAACAAATAACAATAAATTATATTCTGATTAATAGTGATCAAGCTTTGAGAAAACCTACTCATGAATAAAAATCATTCACTCATATTAATAAAAAGTATAACTCAAAAACACGAGAAATGCATAACTGCTGTTAGGCATTGTAAACTAGTGATTTTATTTCATGTTATGAGCCCTATTTTTGCTTTTTGTTGTTTTTTATATTTATTTTACACATGTATAAAATGTCAGTATTCAACAAATCAAACTTACATTTTCTTTATCAAGAACTTTCCCGCTAACAGAGAAGCCTGCGATCTCAAACTTTTCCTGGATTATATGAAAGAAAAATAATGTATTGCATAACTAGATGCTACATAACAACAGTGCACTCCGTGTAGTAAAGGACTAAAGGGGATGAATGTGTGGTGGTTCTTTGTACTTAGTAAACTGTCCCATCCACTGGTATTCCCTCCTCATACTGTGAGCTGTCTGTTGTAGCACAATTTGTACTTGTTTTTGTACAGATATATAAGAGGGTTTGACAGTGTGGCTCTATGTATAAGGCCAGTAATTCCATGCTACTAAGTTAGTGTATACTTTAGCTGTTTAGTAGCCTCTTCGTATTCTGTTACTCATTTAGAACAGACGGTTTATGTGTGTGTGTAAATAGCTATTACATTTTTATTATTATTGTTGTAACAGTCCAGTTGTTTCATAACACATTAGTGGCTTTGTCCTTGTATGCTGCACTGTGCTTTGATTACCCTTACAGGTGTATCAGGGTGTTCACAACACTCCCCCAGTTATACTAGAGGAACAAGCTTAAATAGAACATCACTACAACATATTATTATATAGATTACCTTCAGTATAACTGAGCCATGGCTAACTTCAAACTCTAGCTTCTCTGGCTCAACATCAAATGTGATGTGCTCTCCTTTGTAAAATGGAATCTGAAAGATATTTATTAAAACTATTTAACAATTGGTGTAGTGAAGGAGTGAATGGGATTGATTGGGTAAAAAGAATATCAAAAAGTTTATTATATTGTACTACTATTCTTCTTTGTCATATTCTGATAGAACTGACTGTGTTTCTGTGTTATTTTTGGCGGTATTTAAGTTCTTTATTCCTGTTATGTATAACAAGCCTCTATTTTATTAGTGATTTCTAATGTTGTGTTACCAGTTTCTGGTACACACAAGCTGTGTCTTTCTGCACAAAACAATCAGAAATTTTAGATTAATGTATAATACTCATCAGGCCACTAAAAGTATCACACAAACAAACTTTTTAAAGACTCATTATGTATTTGAATAAACATAGATTTAAAAGATACACAGGTAAAAAAAAAACTTACTATGAAATAAGAACCAGAAGGTACCACAGGAAATACAAAACTCCCATCATCTTTAGATGTCACATAACAAAGTGGAGTTAACTTTGATTCTTTTGTCAGAAAACCTTTGGGTGATCCTTTCTCACACTGAACTACATTCTGAAAACATTTTTTAAAAATTTAAATTATTTGTTTCTCCTGAAAAGAAAAAAAAAAATTTCATAACTAGCCATCATGCAGTGATTAGGAAATGTTTTTTCAGAATGACATGTATTCTTGTTTTAATAAATGTTTGCAGATCGAAAACAAAATCCAATGTTCTAAATCTGTTATTACTTCAAATGTTCAATGAACAAAGTTATTCTACTGTGCAAGTAAGAGATGAATTCTCTACTTACTGTAGGCTGATTATTTTGAGAAAATAAAACAAAGTTGACAGACTTCATGGGCTGGCCATCTCCTGTAACTTCACCCTTTAAAAAAAATATCACATTCATTTTCACTAAATAAACATCTAATTTTTTTTAGCCACAGTAAAACAGTAACTTTTTCTAAACAAGGTTTATAAAGTTTATGAACAGCTATAATATCAATTACCCAGTGACATAGTAAAATATAAATTCTACAATACAGCAGGATAGTACATATTTGAGTTCTGCATCTAGGTTGCATTTCTTAACATTATTTTGTAAAGGTATTTTCAAAAATATTTTTTTTTTACTTAACAAAGACTGGCACAAATATAAAGTAAAAGACAAAACAATCGTCAAAATAGATAACTGAAAAAATAACTAGGCAAGATAATTTTAATTTATATAAAAACAAACCCAACATGATTAATTTTGACATGAGATTACATCTCCAAGAAGTACAAATTACCTTCTTTGCTAAGTCATAAAGCCTTAACAGTAGATTTACTTATTTAATATAGCAAAAGTGGCCAATTAGTAGCGATATGAAAAGAGAACACAGCGCCAGAACGTACCCTGACATCATAGCCTCCAATGGTCAACCCTGTACCAACATTAGCATTGTCATTTTTCACATGTACAGTCACTTCACCCTGTAACACAGCAATAAACAATTTTTGGGGAAACAAGGAAGTTTTCATTGGATTAGTAAAACTAACACAAATACAACTTCAGAATATAACATACTTATTAACAGTGTGGATACATCCTAGGCTATTATATAGTTAGTATTGCTACCCTAATCATAACAAGTAATAACTACCTAAAATGAGATTCTCTAGTAAAGAGTAAACAGATTCTTTATACAAAATAATTTCACAACCTACTAATGAGAAATATTCCAAATAAAAATGTATATATAATAAAAATGTCTGGACTCACCTTGCTGAACTGCCATGATGAATGAGAAGCTAGAATTTTATAGTCTCCTGGCATCACATTGGAGAAGACAAAGCTAAAAAATATTTTTTTAAATTCTACATTAACTTTTGTGCCACTGTAAGCAAGGGTTTATTTATCAATTATATTTTATCAACTAAAACATAACTGGCAAAATTATCTTTTTAGGTACAATGATCACTATGTCTAAATTACTAAAATGGCTTCACAAACGACAAACCTTCCTTTCCCATCTGTGAGAGTGGACTGTAAGACATCAGGCTTTAAAGAAGATATCAGATCTAGTTTCACACCAGCTGGTCCTGATGTTTGTCCCAAACTGGCAACCTAGTCAAGTAGAGAGAAAAATAAAACAACACAAAATATAGAGAAACATGAGTTATTTACCAATTATAGCCTCATGTAAAACCCATTGTGAAAAATAAAGTATGATTTAATCACTGCAGTAGTGTCCATAAACTTACAATGCCCATGATGGAAAATCCAGTAAACTTAAAATTGATGTCTTCCCCTTTGCTGCAAGGATCATTTTCTCCATCAACTTTGAGCTCAACACTTGCAGGTTCTACAGAGTTTTAAAATTAGAATGCATTATGAATAGTCTAATAAAAATCAATATCTTTATCAACTTAATTTAAAAATTGTGTTAGCTATGATTATGACTGTAAAATTTAATATAATAAATACTACTTACCAAATCCCCAACCCTTTGGTGGCTCAGCCTTTAAAATATAATCCCCTTTATCATAGAGTGGAATGAGATAATATCCAGTGTTTGGTGCACAGTCCGTTTGATACTTTATACTTCCATGGGGTGTATACAGTTTTACCTAAGGAATACAATGTTAACATTTTAAGCAATAAATTCAATGTATATCACAGACAATGAACCTGGAAAAAATTAACTAGTTAAAACAATCAATTTTCATATTAAAAGTATAGGTTCAAACAGTTTATATTAAACAGTTAGATGAAAGTTTACTAAGTGCTCTTTGGTAAAGGAGTAAGGCTATAGGCTTACCTGATATAAATAGTAACAATAAATTTTCTATATTTAGTTACATGCATTGACCTTGTGCCAATTACCAGATTAGTAGATACAAAAGTGTTGTACAATTGTAGATCGATCATTCATATGATTCGCAATCAGATAAAGTAAGTTGTGCAGACAATAGAACTATCACCTGTACCAAACTCCACCAGTTTCATGTGTGCAAAGGGCATTGACCGAACTCTTTTTATAATACTAATTTAACACTCAACTATTGAGTATTAAGAAGAGTTTGGTCTATGGCACATATGAAACTGGTGAAGTTGGGTACCTCCAAAAAACGTTGAGAATTACAGAATTAGATATAAAACTGACTTATTCGGTTCAGGCCTTATCTCTTTGCACAACCACTGTCATAATGAATGATTCACAATCTCACAAAATGAAGAGAGTGAGTGAAAATGTCAAATGTTGAACAGTTGAACAGTACAGAGTGCAGGAGAACAGGATTGATGTCGGGATATGGAACTAGATCGGTAATCTATCGTTTTGGGTACGTAAAATCGCCCGCGGCTATTTATGTACGAAAACGTTACCTCATTGTCAAGGCTTTAATAGAAGTATATTGTCATATTTTTGTGTCAAATATTATAGATAAATGAATAATAAACCTAAATCAATGGCTAAATATATCGATATAGGCCAGAAATTAACTTTAAACAGCAGTGTCTGAGAGCAAGATTTGCTATATAAACAGCAGCCATTTGTAAAATAGAGTGACTTCCCCCTGAATCTGGCGCTAAAAGCTTATAAAAATAAAACTTAGACAAGATGGCTGCTATAGTAAATGAGCATGGTTGCATCTGTTGGAAACATCGCTAGTCTTCATTTATTACGGAAAAGTTTTAATTCAATTGTTTAAAAACAGGTACATAAATGAATCAAGGAAACATTTTTGAATTTTTTAAAACATAAATTCTCCTCAAACTGTGAAATAATTATTAAAATTTAAGGAGTCACCTGTTTTTCACATTACAAATCGCGGGCGATTTTACGTACCCAAAACGATAGATTACCACTAGAGGAGCTTACACTTTTCGGACACACATAGCGAAAAAACGCAACGTAAAAATTCCATGCGGTCTCATTCAGTAACCGCTTAACATAGAAAACAAAAAAAAGTATCATATCTATCCGCAACCATTCTACTTTATTAATGTGTGTGTCATTTTGTATTCATACGCATAGAACTTAAGCTATTCTTGTTATAGTGACTGGGGGGTCTTAACGTGTGTTCGAACACACGTAATACAGTTTTACATGTGTTCGGACACCTTTACCCGTCATCGGACATAGCACTTTTTGTTTATTTAGAATAATTTAAAGTCAATTTAATGAATAAAAACATATATTATATGCATTTATATTGTGTTATTGATTGTTTGTGAGGTAATTTTAATAGTATAAAACCTTTTTCCCACACTCCCAAAGTTCATCCCATTCAGCCATTGCGGCTCGCGCAGTACGCTGCTAAGCCAGCCAGGTCACATGATTCCCCCTCCTCTTTCGCATTCCACTGCCTTCTTGACCTTATTTTGACCCTTTCCCTTCAATAACCAGCCCCTTTTATGCTCTAAATTCTTATTTAATAATATTTTTGTGTTGCTGTCCGATCCCATGTAAGGTCAAAAAAGTTAGCGAACACCCCTTTTTTATTGTTCAAGCACGAAAAAACCCATTAACCTTGACATTTACGATGTTCCATACATATATAGAAGCTATTTATAGTGTAACCTTTTAGCTAAGCATTGATTGGTTCAAGTTTTGCCCCTAAGTCCAACCCTAGGTCACTTCATCCGGCTGATGTAAAAATAGAAATGTGCGTACCATGCAACGTTAAAAAATTTCTAAAAATAATTCTTGAGAAAGGAAACGGAAGTACTTGACACGGAAGTGTTCATAAATGAACAGTTTACGTGCAGGCGCCGTGGTTTCGCGTGAGACATGCTAATTAAAGTTTCTATGAGCCAAAAACCGACGAAGTGTTCGGTCCTACGTAATTTTTGGTGTGTGTCCGAAAAGTGTAAACTCCTCTAGATCTACTCAAGGGTAATCTATCGTTTTAGGTACGTAAAATCGGCCGCAACTAGTAATGTGAAAAACAGGTGACTCCTTACATTTTAATAATTATTTCACATTTTGATGAGGATTTATGTTTTGAAAAATACAAAAATGTTTCCTTGTTTCATTTATGTACCTGTTTTTAAACAATTGAATTAAAACTTTTCAGTAATAAATGAACACCAGCGATGTTTCCAACAGATGCAACCACGCTCATTTACTATAGCAGCCATCTTGTTTAAGTTTTATTTTTATAGACATATAGCGCGAGATTCAGGCGGAAGTCACTCTATTTTACAAATGGCTGCTGTTTATATAGCAAATCTTGCTTGCAGACACAGCTGTTTAAAGTTAATTTCTGGCCTATATTGATATATTTAGTAGCGAGGCTCACTAACTTGAAAGCGTCTCTGGTTGCTAACAACAACATGGCGTCCTACACCGGACGCTTAGTTTCGGACATTTTTCTTGTCTGCCCAAGTGACTTTCTAGGAATTCGTTTTTAAAATGTTTACCTCGTGAAAAATGGCGGTTTTTTCACATAATGTAAACAAACTATAAATGGCAGTGCTAAATATGCCAGAGAAACGCTATAAATTGCTTTGGATAATGAAGACCGAAGCTCAAAAAGTGGTGCCGACAAACATTCGTAGATCTTTTTAAATATTAGCTACTACGATGTAGATCGGAAACCGAAAGTACATCAATATTAGATTTAGCAGTCTGTGTAAAAATAAATCGAATATTACATGCGCTAATTTTTAAAAAAATTCTCCAAAACGGTCACCACCAAAAGTAAAAATTCCATAACCCACGTGACCGCTATTGGGCGGGAGACGTTTGCCTAGGTGGCTCTATCGACTCTTTACTACGTTTGTGTTGTTATTTATGTTGACAAGCGTTAAGTGAATATTTTCCAATTTTGATTTTTACATTGCTGGACAAATTAATTAAGTATTTCGATCTGAACATGGGAAGATAGGAATAAGTTGGTATTTCTGTAAAAGCCCGTAAACCGGTGATCTCGTGGTGAAACGCGATCTCGATACGTCTAGTAAAGTCTAGGTGCTATATTATTTACTTGATTTTATTATTACTAATTACGACTTGGTCGAATTATAGTTAATATTATTTTCATTTGCTTTCATTTTTTATATAATTGATTATTATGATTTAGATCCAGAAGGACTAGGCTAATAAATTATAATAATCATATTAGAGGACAGCCTGCATAAACAAAAGTTGATCTAGATCTAGTTGACACAGTACTTGGACTTGCGCACACGCTCGCGTGACGAAAGAACGCAAGCGGGCTCGTGACGAATTTGCATAATTTTTCACTCACAAGTGATCAACGTTAATGTGATAGGCGTAGCCTAACAATCTTTAAATAGATCTAGACACCAGCTCTAGATACAAATTTAAGTATTAAAACTCCGCCTGGATATGTCTAGCTTCGGACGGGCGATGTTTCTCTCGTTGACAAAACAACGCGAGCGAGCCGTCACTACGCACAGCCTATGAGTGGCGATGTTTGGAATGCATTTCTCGCTCACATGTGATGAAATTTAATGCAACGACAGTTTTAAAAATAAAAACAGATATTTTATTATGTCTATATAGATCTACTTTTTTTTAATATTTAAAACTCAGCCTGGACAAAGCTTCCATGCTGGATAAGGGAGGAGGGTTAGATTCCGCCGTTAACTCAATCTATTATTATTAGGCCTAATTGTCCTAATTAAACATTCCTATTTACACTGATTAATCAAGACTGAATAAAAGTGAAAATGAATACCTTTAAAAAGTTTAGATCTATATATTTTTAAACATATATACGTGATTTTTTTGGTTCATTCCTTTGGCGTTTACTAGAAATACAGTAAATAGATTACATAACCAAGTTACGAGTATCCTTTCGATTTCGTTTTATTGCAGCATACCTCCACTTCCCCCTCCCCACACATGATCCTTACGAACCTCCTTGGTCGTTTTCAGGTCAACTTTAGGAACCAGATCTTTGAATGGTTGTCATGGAAAAATCTTTCCCAGCTAAGCTGTATGGCACCAATAATTAAAATCATGTATTTTAGTTCAAAATGAGCTAAAATCATCAAATGTAGTGCCTGGTTAGTTAGAGAAATATCTCTAGCTTTTATTGGTATTGGTTAAAAAAATAAATAATTAAAATTAAGATTTAGTGAGCCTCGCTAATATTTAGCCATTGATTTAGGTTTATTATTCATTTATCTATAATATTTGACACAAACATATCACAATATACTTCTATTACAGCCTTGACAATGAGGTAACGTTTTCGTACATTAATAGCCGCGGGCGATTTTACGTACCCAAAACGATAGATTACCTACTCAAGTTAATCAACTAAGACTTGGCAACTTAGATTACCTCAACTAAGGAATAATTTATATCAACATCAGATTTAACGAATCCTCCACATCCAAAAACTCCATCACCCAACGAATATGGCGTAATAAAATTTAAAAGAAAAAAACAAATGAGATTAATTTTCATCTTTTCGGCAAACATGATGACGATCAGAAGGAAACCATAACCGGAAGTGGGATCTAAACCGGCGTTTCCAAAATTCTTTCGTTTAATAATATTATTACAATAATATTTCTGGCTTTTATTAGAATCTCTAGATCTAAAATCTAGAGCCGTGGTTCTTAATAAACCTTTTTGTATGTACCAAACCTCACCAGCTTCATATGCACACTCACCAAACCATTTTTAATTGTAAAACTGAAATATGATTTTTTTAAAATTCAAAATATTGGTATATATTTTACTGGTGCACAAAATGAACCGTGCATCAATATCACTGTGCTTTAAGAAGAAAATTATGAAAATATGATTATCACTCAAAAACACAAACATAATGATAAATATTAACTTTATATTAGCGTGACTTCTGCTGTTGCCTTCCAGAGACAAATTCAGAAATGCGCGGCTTCATCTTGGCAAGTGCCACTCTCGTGTCATTTCCACAACAGTCTGTTCCTTTTATACTAGATCTAGATCTAGATCTAGATCTATATACATTTTAATTTTCAGTATCCTCGGAAATGTGTGCTCGCAAAGATATGCTGTAACAAACGGTGTGAGAATCTCCAGAGCTTTCTTAGCAATAATAACGCCAAAACGTTTGAAAGCGATGTTGTTCTGAAAGATTGTTGTTGAACCTGGCTAGCTGAATTTCAATGATTTCATCAAGGTATTAATCATTGAAATCTGTTGTCTCAACACTAAACCTGAACGGCTGTCTCACCCATTCTAGATATGACCCTCTTGTAGAGAAGTATCCCTAGAGGTGTGTTGCAAGCTCATCTTATTTTTAATGCTTCAGTTCATCTAGTACAGAAATGTCTCAGATTCCAGCTACATCTCGATCTGACGTACATAGAGGAAAGTTTGCGAAGTTAACGTTCTCTGTTTGTTGTTTCCATAACTGTAGCTTTTTTTTTACAGCCTTCATGTTTTCTTAAACTTCGTTGATGTTGACTCCACCGCCCAGCATCTGTTGATTGAAATGGTTGAGTGCTGAGAAGATAGCACCCGTGTACGCTAAATGAGAATGAACTCAGAATTTTTCAATCAATCATGTCCCCGTGATAACCATCGAACGTTAGTACGGTACAGTACAGTAAAATAAAGGTCCCTTTCAAACCTGACGGTCTACGGGGCAAGTAAAGTAGAGTTCACTTGAAATTTTCGGGGGGTGGGGGGGGGGCGGAGCTATGCCTGGAAGAAACTGGTGGTCAGCACTTTGACCAGCCGCCTTTACTTACGCTAACGTGAGTTAGGTACCCATCAGAGTTGGGTGGACTCAGTGACGGTCTACTGACTTCAACCCGGATTCGATCTCTTACTGCTAGGCCACTTCGGACCTTTATGTACAAAAGTACCTCAAAATCAGAGCCCATTTCTTTACACAGCTCACTGGAGAGTCGGTGCCTCAAAGCACTATTTCGCACATTGTTCACGCATTCTACTACAATTGATAATATCTCTGCCAGTTTTGGAGGCAAGGTTTGAGTTGCCAACGCATGCCTGTAAATAATACAATGCATAACAATGATGTAGATGCATCGGCTTTCATTAGCTCAACAAAACCTGAAATTCTACTATGCAGAACTGGAGTTCTTTCCAGGGAAAGATTACTGTCGTTTGAAGAAGTCATCAACAAGTTGTTTTTATTTCCACATCGGCTGTCTACGTTGTTGTATAGGCTTACAAAATTTGAAAAATCTTCCTTTATCACGTCATTTTTCACATAGCGCACAAATACAGCAAGCTAGCTTAGATTGGAAACGTTTGTAGTCTCGTCGAGTTCAAGCCTGAATTTTGTCAGTCTTGGAATTAGATCTGCAACTACTTGAGCCAAGATATCTTTGCTTATGTCCTCTATTATGTCGCTGAGGGCGTCATTTGATAGATGAATTTGGGATAATTTAATTTCAGCCGCTTTTCACAACTTGATATTCGCCATCTACAACACAGCTAGTTTATGAGTGTTGCACCAATGGTTGATTTGCCCTACTTTGAGATCAATTAGGCAGCTTCGTACGAAGCTGTGAGGATTTTGTTTTGTTGATGTGTACAAAGCCAAGAACAGACTAATTAGTCTTTTCATCAAATCTGTCTCTCTTCGCCTTTAATTCATCGAACGATGTGTTCTTGTATTTTCCATCTCAATGCTGCTTAAAAGCAAGACTTAGTTTCTCTAACTTTTCCTGTGCATTGACTAGCATTGCTCAACTTGGCGCTGCAAATCATGTAGTTAGGACGCTGACTCCCATCAAGTTCCGTTATACATGTGAATTCATATTGTACATAACTAAGTGAATTTAGCTGAAGAATAGCTCATTCCATTTATTAGCTAATAGTTATCTTTAAATTATTTTTTTAAAACGTTTAAGTAATTTGGTGCCAGTGGTCAAGGTTTAAAGGTACCAAGGGTCAAGGTCATGTATCTAGACCTGAATTCCAAAAACATCTGTCTCACTCTTGTCAGTGGTAGCAAAAAAAAAAAGTGGCAATTATTCATGCAATCATTCAACTAATTTCAGGTACTCATTAGAGCTGGATGGCTCATGGACATCAGATGACATCAAATCCTAGGAGGCAATTAATCATTTATTATCAATAAAAATAAAGAGAAAGGGGAACCCTAGCTTCAGTCTGTGTACAGTTCTTTCATAAAGTACTAGACCGACTTTACATAACAAAAATATTTAAGTAGACAATGAAAACTTCTGTTATCATCTTTATTGAACAAAAAAGGAACAAGATAAAATACAAACATACAAAAAACAATGTTTAGCTCAAGTTCATTAAAAATATTTTTTTGTACTTAACAAAAACATAAGACCCTAGTCAATGAAATTTTGATTTACAAAAGATGATTATGAAAAATAAAAAAATTTTTTTTTTTACCTTGAATAACAGGACTGACAATAATGGACAGTAAAGCATTTATCCATCAAAAATATCCATGTGGCAGGAATAACGAGCATTACATAAACATTTCAAAGTTTTCAAGCATTGTCCTTACAGATCAGCATACTACTATTAAATGGTATTCAGATATATACTAGTGATAATACATGGTAAAATTTCCAAATGTAATAATGAATATCCTTAATATTAACATTGAATTTTTAGAAGGAAATTTAATTTTTTTTTTCTTTAGAAAACTTCAGCATTCACTGAGCATTTTTATTGTATTTCTCTAATCCCTTTGATCTCGTACGCTGCATTAATATCTACCATGGCGATCTCTAGATCTGGACCGTCTGCGATCACGCCTATCATTCCGATCACCTCGATCGCCACCTCCTCTACCACCTCTGTCACGCTCAGGCCTGCCATTTTCACGATTAGGGTTGCGCTCCTCTCTGTCTCTGCTGCCCTTGGCCTCACGAGGTTCCCTGCGGCCACTGTTGCTTGTAGGTGGTGACCTGGACCGTGATCTGAAAATGTACAATTTTGTTTAACAACCATTTCATAAATGTGGAACAAAAAAGCTTGATGATTTAAAGCCTGATGATTTAAAGGCTCCAAAGTTTACAAACTATTTTGTATTTAAAGCTGTTAGTTGGAGAAAATAATAGAGCTCACTGGATTTTAAAATTACTCACTCAAGAGCTTTTTATCAAAATATAGGATTGTGATCATTCCAAAAGCATTTTTCACCATACTTAAATATAAAATTAGCTATAAATTTAATAAGTGAAAAGTATGTGCTCTTAAGGTTATAAAATGTTTATTTCAGTCATCATTGAATAATCAATATTTAAAAAAAAAAAAATTCTAAATTCTCACGAATGTCTCCATAAATATTAATTTTCTTAAACAAAGATAAAGTTAATTTAAAAACTAAAATATAATTACTTTCTGCCCTTCTTGCGGCCACTACGGCCATACAGCTCTCGTCTGAGTTCCCTTGAGATAGGCTTCAGATGCATAAAGTTACAAAACCCACCTCTTGTGCATTCCCTTGAAAATAAAATCAAATAATGGCATGTAAAAAATAATTTTAACATTTAAAAACATCAATGTGAGCATTTTATCACCATTTTAAAACTTGGTAAAAATTGTCATGTACACACACAAAGATTTAAAATTCTACAACAATTTGCGACAAGGATTTTAAATGGTTATTGACTAAAATAAGCAGACGAGGAATAGTTTAAAAATCATCCAGTCAACTCACCCCATTTCATACTGCCTACAGCAAGCCTCTCTAAAGTCTGTGACTGGAGAAAGCTCACAGTGAATTGGTCTCTGGTTGAACCAGCGGTTGTTGAGCTCACCTACTGCCTTTTCTGCATCCTCTTCTTTGTGGAACTTGAAAAAAATTATCATTATGAAAACTGTTAGGACACTGCAAAATTTAAATTACTTTTTCACCATGTCACATGTCATGGTGCAAATATTTTGTTAAAGACTCAACCAGCTCTTGCTTTGAGTCTTCAATTTGGCACCGAGCTGCTTTTCACGTTTTGTTAGTCAATTTATTTTTCTAAATGAGAAAATCTACTGCTGTGGACTAACAAAGATTTAAAAAAAAAAAAAAAACCACTTGTAAGCCAAAAAATACATACTGAACAAAGACATTAAATATAAGTTACTTTATGACAATATATGTTAACCCAAATATAAAAAGAGCATGACTTCTGAAATATATAAGAATTGAGAAGTGGAGGTTGAAGGTATCATTAGCTGTACAAAGCAAAATTTCCCTAAAACAGATGCAAAAGACCTGTAGTTTCACAGATGGCATTTGGTGTTCAGTGGTCCAACCATCAGCATCTGATGCTGTGGTCACACAAATATTAGTGTTTATTTAAATATATTACCTGAAATCACACGGAAAAATAAAATAGATCATTGAAATACCTAACATTATATATAACTTTACATAGACACAAAACAAAACTACGCATTTCATAACATTTTTTAAATAGACACAAAACAAAACTACGCATTATTATACCTGAACTACCTTATATGTATTTCTCTATAGTAAGCTTTTTAAGAATACTTGACTGGTAGAAAAATTCTTCAGTAAGTCTCCTTTAGCCACAAACAGAAATGCTTTATATTGATTTTTTAAAAACCAAAACAGGTGAATACTTACACGAACATAGACATTACCAACAAGATGGTCCCCCAAATTGTCACAGACATTCATTTCCTCTATCTCTCCATACTAGAAAAAATTTAAACAATTATAATAAGTTTTAAATGCAAAAATTTTATAACTGTTTAAAAACAAATACAGATCTATATAATTATACAGATGGAGAATATGATAGACAAACTGCTTTACACATCTTTATTAGGTCATCTTGTGCATAACCTGTCCATTACATATTACTAACTCTAAAGGATATTCAAAATCTGTTCTTCATTACAGCTCTAAGATTAGCTTTAATAAAATCACTTGATATCAAACTGTTTTAAACAGAATATCCGTTGTGTATTTTTGGGGTAGAAACACATTTTAAAGTAAAGATAGAATAAAGACTGTAGCATGAAGGTGTGTTGTCAAAAATAAACATAGGAATAAAGCCCTAAATCAGACCTGCTTAAAAATTATTACAATTATTACAACATTACAATTTTCAATAATAATGAACATATTGATATACAGTAACACTTATGCTGTATTTGAGCAAGATCACACAAAGCGAACCAATCAACTCAATCAAAATGCACTGAGATGTCTGAATACCTTGTCTTCCAATTCAACAAAAATTTCCTCAAAAAACTCATCATACTCTTGTTGTGCTTGAACATCATCCAACATAACTAAAAGGAAAAAATAGTCAGCATTTCAATTACTATACTAAAACACTTTTTAAACCCTTTAACTCCTAATATTGCTAAACGCTGCCTCTAATCCTAATGCTAAATGTCGCTTTTTATATCAAGTCATTCCGCTGCTAATTCTATTTTTATGGCTATTTATTATAAATATTCTCCAGTTAAAAGAAACAAAAAAAAAAAAAAAACTTCCTACCAGTAATTTTAACAATCAAAATTGCGCATGATTTAGATTTAAAAAAACTGGCAGAATTTTGCAGTAGTGTAATAATTTTGATGTTCAGTTACAGAAACCTTTGAACTAAGTGATGGGGACACATGTAACTTACATGAAAATAATTGATAGTAGTGGTAATATTGCTGATTAAAAATGTATTTACTGTGAATTTCTTAAAAGACCCACCCTATATTTAGGTTACATTTTAAACAGTACTACCCCTTTCCTTAGGATCGGGGAGTATGAAATAGACCGCAGTATAGGAGCCATAAGGTTAAAAAGTGGCATTTGGTAACTTAGTAGGAAAATAAATCTAAACATGGCTTCTGGATATTTTTTAACTAATAAGCTAATCAAAATGCGTAACCTCAAGAAATAAAAATTGTTGTTGTTTTTAAATTACAACATTTTTACAATAAATATTGAAAAATTGTGCATAGACTCACTATGAGATCCATCAGCAGTTAGGGCAGCATTTTGTGGATTTAAGTAGAGATTTTGAAGTAGGATTGTCTGAAAATGAGATTAGTTTTCAATGTAGTTCAGAGCACTTATATTTAATATAACAAAATTGGAAAAATAAAATTATAGCTGTTGTTATAATTATTTTTATCTAGAAAACTCTATTATCTAAATGGAATACTATAAAAAACTAACTTAATTCTTGTTTTAAAATGATTTCACATTTCTATTTTTTTTATCTTTAGATGTTTGATGTAAACAGAATAAGAGCAGGCATACAAAGTACTGTGATTGTAAAGCATAATCAAACTGTTTAAACATTTTTTTTACCTGACTGAAGGTAGGTCTGTTATGTAAACGAGAGCATCGGTCACCATGACGACAGGCTCCAATTTTAAAGTAAAATGAACAATTTACTCTGAAAAATACAAATAAATCAGTAGGTGTTGTATATAGTATGGATAAATTATTGCTTTTATTATTGGCAACATTAAACCACAGGACTACTTTTTGTGACAATATTAAATATATAGGCCTAACTGAAAAATATATCAGATTGATATCAAATTAAATTACGTATAAATGAACATAGGAAGGGGTAAAATAAAGTAAATTTTTACAAAAAGGAACAATGTTTAATTAACCATTTGGACAGAAGTTGTTGAATCATCAAAACGAGAAAATTTTGGGTGTGGTAAAAATTGGGACATCAGATTTATTGGACTTGACATGTTTGCGGCTACATATATGTAGCACAATAGTACAAAATAGTGTATTTGTTATACCTGTCTTGCTAATGCCAATAGTAACCCTTTCTATAACCCCACCTCTATTCCTACCATACACCTAACCCTAATTTCTAACCATAAAACTAGACTGAAGATTACAATACTACTAACAGGCCTACCAATCAGACGAAGGCCGAATGAAAAATAACACATGATCAGCTATTTTCGCATGTGACATTTCTCGCATTTTACCGCCTCACCATTTCGCTTTATGTATTGTTATTGTGAATTAATATTATTTATGTATTGTTATTGTGAATTAATATTATTTATGTATTGTTATTGTGAATTAATATTATTTATGTATTGTTATTGTGAATTAATATTATTTATGTATTGTTATTGTGAATTAATATTATCTATGTATTGTTATTGTGAATTAATATTATTATTATTACAGGCAAACTTGGAGGAAAAAAACAATATGGTGTCAACACTGGTGGCATGACTTCAGATGATTTTTGTCTTGGTTCCAGGGACCTTTAAGAATCTTTTAAAAATGTTCACCAAGAGTAATGTGGTATTTTTTTCACATAATAAAAACAAACTATAGCTGGCAGGGTTATATATACCAAAAGAGCATTTTAAAATTTGATTAAAGAATGAAGGCTACATTAAAAAGTTGGTTTCTTTAGAAATAGAAGAACTTTTAAAATATCAGCCTCAAGAATGCAAGAATGAACCGAATATTGTTGTAATATTAGGTTTATCAGTCGTTGAAAAATAAATAAAATAATGTGAGGCTCTTCTTTTTAAAACCGGCCAAGAAAATGACAACCAATTTTTTTTTAAAAACCATGTGACTGCTACTTGGGCATTGGCATCACTAGTGAGAAACTTTTGTGCATAGCTAAAAAGTCAAACCCGATGTGTGGCTTTCTGTAGCTTCAAACACAAGGGTGATAACACATGGTTGTACATGTAATGGTAAAGTGTGTTGTGTCATAGCTATGAGTGACAATAAATTTTTAAAAAGTAATTTAGTCTAAATTCTAAAACCCTCAAAATTAGTGCCTAATAGATTAAATATGGATGTCTATAATTCAGTGATCATGTTTAAATTGAAAATTGAGTAGATCTAAATTTTTGATTTAGCGAGAATATCTAGATTCTAGATAGGACTTGGGGCCTACAAAAAGACCTGCACAGGCGGCTAAGTTAAAAAATTAGGTAATCTATCGGTTTAGGTACATAAAATCGGCAGAGGCTAGTAATGTGAAAAGAAAGTGCCTCATAAATTTTATTAAATTTTAGTAATTATTTAACATTTTTTTTAGTAATTATTTAACATTTTAAGGAAGATTTATGTTTTGAAAATTACAAAAATGTTTCAACGTTTCATTCATGTACCTGTTTTTAAACAATTGTGTTAAAACTTTTCAGTAATAAATAAAGACTAGCGATGTTTTCACCAGATGCAAAAAAGCAGCCATCTTGTTTGAGGTTTTTTTTGGTAAACTTTTAGCAGGAGATTCAGGGGAAGCCACTCTATTTTACAAATGGCTGCTGTTTATATACAGGGTCCATAGCCAAATCCCAAAAGAAAATTCAAGGGTTTTTCATGGTTTTCAAGGTGACTTAAATTAGGGGGGAATTTCAAGGTAAAAACTACCACTAATGGGCATTACAATGAGGGTGATGTATGTCTTTTGCACGCACAATTTTTAAAATAATTTTGGTGTTATTACAAAATTATCTAAGTCAGGAGATTGTCTGAGAGTCCAGCATTATCCCTTTTGCAATCAGTATCTTTGGTGTCAAATGACACTCCTCCAACTTCTATTTTCAGAAAAACCTCTTTCAACACTGGCTTGACCATGTGACAGAAGCAATAGATCTCTAACAATTTTCCAAATGTTCACATAAGAAATTTTTCTACCAAGCTGTTCTATGAAAAAACTGTTCAGCCTATCATGTGCTCTATTAAATTTAGATAGACAACTATTTAGAGTACATGTATCTATGAATGTTGAAAATTGAAACAGAACTTGGTCACACTCAGCTGATTTCAGTTTCCATTTGTTGACTAGGAAGTGAAGAATTCCCTTCATTTTTTTGGTGAACTGGCTCTATTTTAAAACGTTTGCATTAGGCTAAGTCTCTCACTAACGTAATGGAGATTTCAACAAAAAATTTGATGAAAATCAAATCAAAGTTGTCTTACAATCAGATTTGAAATTGAAAATTTGAAGCTCACTTGCTTTTTTTTATTTTTTTTAGAGACTTTATTAGAGAGTCAGCAACAAACCCAACTTCAATTGAATGACTTGTCAATGTCAAGTGCTAATCAGAATCAGGTCATTATACATAAAAGGAAGCATTGGTTCGTCTGTTTGATAGTCCTTTAAAAAGGACTCTGCAATATATTCCTTTAAAAAGGACTCTGCACACATATAGAAACAAAAAAAAACTAGCTATGCTTGTAGAAATTATCCTGCTTAATGTCATAAATGACCTCACGCTTTTTAAAAAGATTTTTACCTCCCCCCTCCCCTCCGTCACACATCACAAAAAGCCAGGCCCCGCTCTCTAAAATGACGTCACACCTCAGCCTATAACCCCCCCCCCTCATAACTGCAGTTGAATTTTTCTTAAAATACGATTTTTTCCCAAAATCTTGTCTGAACTCTGTCAAAATAGAGTATTTTAATCAATTCGTTTTACAATTTATTAAAACAGTTTTCTAAAATGCTAAAATTCGTTTTCTAACATTGCTTTTTAATAATGCAAAAGTGTGATGTCACACCATCTGACCCCCCCCCCCCCCATCCCCTCATCACACACCGTCACACGATTACGGATCCCCCCTCCCCCTACGAGTGTGACGTCATTTATGGACGACCCCAATGTCCCCACCTATGATATACATGATGACGTAAAGAAATATCGTGGAACTTTTAAGTTAGTTCATATCGCGGAATAACAGAATTAAGTTTTTTTTAAAAACAATTTCACAAGTAACTCCGCTAGTAATACTCATGTCAGAGATGTAGCCGCCCGACAAAGTGAAAAGCGGATTTTTTTTTACAAGCGGATGGGAGGGGCAGTGACAGCGGCAATTTTCTCAAACACGGTAATTCGAGGCTTCTTAAACATTTCAAGGACGTTTTACCACATTAAAAAGCAATTAGATCTAGACCCTGCTAGATGGTGTAACTAAATTATAGCAGACCTACATATTTTATTCAATGACCTAAAACGATGCAGATCTAGTTTTTGTTTTCGCTTAAATCTAGCAGTAAGCCCAATATTAAAGATAACAGTGGCGTAGGCAGGGGCGGGTGTTAGGGGGGGTCATAACCCCCCCATAGACCCCTCGGTATATAGAAAAAGTATGAGGGGGGTGCAAATCGAAAGTTTGAGGGGGGGGGGGGTGCAAATTGAAAGTTTGAGGGGGGGGGGGGTGCAAATCGAAAGTTTGTCCCCGGGTAAAAATTGGAACCCCCCCTTGAGACGATCCTGGCTACGCCACTGAAAGATAACCACGTTTAAATTAGATAAACAGCGTTTGTAGAACTGCCTTGACCGTGAGACACTACTGTGCTCGCGCGTGGTCTCGTGTCGTAGGTCTTACCGTCAGCGCGACCTTGAAGTGAGAGGTGGTAAAAAGTGTCCGTAAAGTTGAGTGAAAACAGCACAGTCATAGTCCTTCAAATTATTTTTCTTTTCTTTTGATAAATACAAAAAAAAAAAATTACGTCGGCGTAAAATCTTTCCTTTTTTTAAGAAGACAATCGGCGATGCTAATGAGCTGGTAAAGTTAGGATTTAGTTTTTTTTAATTACACAGCCTAGCGGTAGCCCATTGATGACGTCACGTAATTAATGCGAATTTTACCCCAAACTCTATCGTCATATATAACCAGACAGCCACGTCAAGAATGACATCAAAAGGTTCTGTCTACAGCCTCACCCATCTGATACAGCCAATGTGTATTTGGTCCATAGCGCACGTGAGATTGACGATTACGTCATTTGCTAATTGGTTTTTTTAACGAACGTGATAAATAGGCCTCTTGGCATTAGGAAATCTTGTTGGTTAATAGTTACAAATCTAGATCTAGATCCACCACTATAATTATTAATATACTGCGAGGTCACTGTAAGTTGAGATAGACCTAGAAGACCATCTAAAGTCGCAGTGACCGAAACGTCTGCTGACGTGGGGTACACAAAGAACCGTGACTGATCTAGGTTCGTAAAAACGTGTCTTCTCGCACATCTAAAACAACAGAACACAATAATTCTATAAATTATGTCTCGCTATTTACCCGTAATTCCGCAGCTACGTTTCGCCCTTTTGTGTTTTACCCACACCGAGAAAATTTTAATTTAAATAAATAGAAACCTACGCTCGCATAGTTCAGGCTATTTTTTTAAAATTTAAACCTAAGGCTTATTTTCTTGAAGAAAAAATATTACTTCTAGATGTAGGTTTAATTATAATCGAGATAATTTCCATGCGCGACCAGAATTTTAATGATTTAGGCCACATTCCAATTTTTTTTCTTTACGGACATCACCGATCAGGAGACAACAGATCACTCGCGGGGTCAATAAAGTTCACAATATAAATAGAGCCAACAACTGCCGAGATATTGTCGGGAAGGGATTAGGGGGGGGGGTCCGAT